AATAAAATTGAATAGACAAGGAAGAGAATGGGGGTGACCTAAGATGACTGCTTCTCAGAAATCACATTTGATGGCAAGAATAGAGGTATGAATGAAGAAATGGCTTGTAGACACTAGGAACAAGCACAAAAGGCCCGTCTTCCCATGTGAGAGAAGTTTGGAGACAGGCAAAAGGATAGTGTGGGGATTCTACAATATCAAGAGTCTAGGTTCTATTTTTCTGTATGGCCACTTCTAGCTCATGACTTCCCTCTTCAAGGTAACCTCATGGTTCAAAATGACTGCTGGGAATATACTCATCGCATCTCTTCCAGGCAGGATATATGAGAAGGGCAGTGAGTGACTAGAAGGTGTTTATTCCATAAAGGTAGCCTCCTTTAAAGGTAAGTCTCAAGGTCCTCTACCCAACAGCTTCACCTTCATCTTATAGGTAGAGTGTAATAAGATATAAGTAATGTTATCTGTGCATTTAATTAAAATAGCATTTCTTTTAAAATTGGTTCTTAGGTTTGAGTAGATATTTTTCCATGTATATAAAATACCTGGTAAGCATGTGGGAAAGTGTTTAGCATCATGTTTAGATACATGAAATTGTAAATCAAATACCTAACTTCATACCCACTGTGATGAAACCAGAATCAAGCAACAATAATAAGATTTGTCCTCAAAGGCATGTAGAACTTGAGACCTCCATAACATTGCTGGTATCCATGAATCAGGGTTGCTGCTTTGGTAAAGTCTGGGAGTTCTTCAGAAAGGTAAACATTGAGCCCTGGAGAGATGGCTCAACCAGTAAAGTGCCTCCTGGGCAAGCATGAGGAACTGTTCTGATCCCTATTACCCCTGTCTGTCACAGCTGTAGCTCCAGGGTGGTGTGAAGGAGTAAATAGGGGTGGAGAGAGATAAAGAAGGAATATTTCATGTTCATAGGTCAGCCTAGTTTTAGAGAAAGACACTGTCCAAAAAAAGCTAAATGGAGAATAGCCAAGAAAGTCACTAAAAAATTAACCAGTAGCCTCCTTTTACATGTACACATGTACATGTACCCTCCCACACATGTAATACTGCCCGTTACCCACCCCCCCAAATAATATATGTGTTAACAAGATGGCTTAGCAGGTAAAGTGCTTGTGAAAGTCTGGGTAATTGACTTCAGCCCTTTGAACCTATGTAAAGGTAGGAGTGGATCGACTACACACGGTTGTTCTCTGACCTTCACACATATGTACAAACATAATGATAAAATGGAAAACAAGACTTGGTATTTTTTTGGTTATTTTATTTTGTGTATGGGTAGGGTTTGTGAGCCACCATGTTGGTGCTGGGAATTGAACCTGGGTCTTCTGGAAGAGCAGCCAGTACTCTTAACCACTGAACTAATTCTCCAGCCTCATGGCACATGCCTTTAATCCCAGCATTCAGGGGGCAGAGACATGTAGATCTCTGGGAGTATTGGGGCCAGTCTGGTTTACATAGTTTCAGATAAGCCAGTACTAGAGTGAGACTGTCTCATAAAATATCAATAAACCCAAAAAGTAATGAAGTATTTTTGCACGCTGTTACATGGGTAAACCTTTGAAAATTATTTGTTTTATACATGAGTATTTTGCATTCATGTATATCTGTGCACTATGTGTTCAGTGCCTGAAGAAGCCAGAAGGACATTAGATGCCCTGTCTTGAGTTACAGATAGTTAGTTGTGAGATACCATGTGGGTACTGGTAATTGAACCTGGGTCACTCTGAGCTGTTGATTCATGTCTCCAAGGCATGATCAATTTTTTTTAAGACAGGTTTTCTCTGTGTAACCCTACCTGTCCTGAAACTTGCTCTGTAGACCAGAATAGCTTGAACTCAAGAAATCCGCCTGCATCTGCTTCCCAAGTGTTGAATTAAGGCATCATACCTGGCCCATCATGTATACATTTTAAAGGCATCATGGTAAACAAAACAACCATCACAAAGGACCACATATATACTTATGTTTTTACTTATTCTTTGAAAATTTCATACATGAATATATTTTGATCACATCCTCAACACACCTCAATTCATTCTCACTAATCCCCTCCAAAATCCCCTAATCTTTTCACCTGGTAACATCAAGTCTTCTTTCTTTTCTTTTTTTTTTTTAAAGCCCTCTACATTGCCTAATTTCCCTTTTCTGTGATAAAATAGTATGATCATAAGCATCTTTCAGAATCTAGAATTTACTTTGGCTTACAGTTCCAGAAGGAGAGTCAATAATGTCCAAGAAGGCATGGCATGGTGGCAGGAACAGGAGGCTGACTGATTACAACTTTGTGTATATACCCAAAGCAGAGAGAGAGGGGAGAGAAGGAAGTAAGGCAAAGCTATAAACCCTGTGATACTTCTGCCCTCAAACCTGCACCTCCTAAAGGTTCCCATAACCTCTCCAAAACAGTGCCACCAATCCAGGACCAAGTGTTCAAATATGAGAGCCTGGGACATTTCTTATTTAAATCATCATGCCTACCAAGTCCAATTAGTGTTGCTAGTATGTGCATGGGTGTGGGTCCATCAGCTGGCACATGGGCATCATAACAGTGGTCATAGACTCAAACAGATGTGACTTCCTCCTTCAGGAGCCATCAAGTGCCAATAGCTCCTAAAGGGGTAGGAAGGAGCACATAATTCAGGGGTCCATTTATATTAAATGCCTAGAACAGGCAAATATGTGGTTTGGGGAGATAGTTCAATTGATATCTTGCTCGCTGTGCAAGTAAGCCTGAATTTGACCCCCAGTACCATAGTTGCCATGTGTGGTAGTGTGTGTTGTAGTTCTAGTAGTGGGGAGAGACAGATTCCTGGGGCTATCAGTGACTCCCAGATTCCAGTAAGACCCTGCCTGGATAAACAAACAACAAACAAAGGTGTGTGGCTCTTGAGAAACAATACCAAGATTGACCTCTAGTCCCCATATGCTTGCATGAACATGCACATACATCTGCACATAAGCATGTATATACACATACATTAAAAAAGAGGCAGATCTGGGGCTGGAGAGATGTCTCATTAGCTAACCACATTTGCTGCTCTTCCAATGAACCCAAGATCAGTTTACAGTTACTATGAAAGGCAGCTTACAACTGTCTACAACCTCAGTTCCAAGGATATCCCATGCCTCTGACCTCTGCAGGCACCCACACTACTGTGTACATGCTCACACCTATACCTAAACCTAATTAACTGGTAATTGAACCTGGGTCACTCTGAGCTGTTGATTCATGTCTCCAAGACATGATCATTTTTTTTTAAAGACAGGTTTTCTCTGTGTAACCCTACCTTAATAGGGTTTTTAAGATAATTAAAAATCTTAAAAAACATCTATATAGGCTAGATGAAGTTGTTTGAGGTGGGCAAAATGGAAGTGATCACAAATCTTTAGGAGATGATAAGTTACTCTAAAATTTGAAAGTAATATTGGCTGCATTTCTGAATATACAATACATAATTGTTCATGTTACAAGAACTGAGACATATGGTGTGGGAGTTGATCTCAGTAAGTCTGTTTGAAGAATCATCTTTTATCTATTTGTATGGCATGTCTTTGTAATTAACCTCAAATCGTAGGGACTAGTTAGGAGGATGAGGGAGAAGTTTCCCAAACTGTTAATACAGCAAGGATTTCAGGGATTACTTAGTCATTTTCTTTCCTTCATTTGAGTCCTAAGTGAAGGAAGAGGAAGAGAAAGAGACAGTGGGATGATAGGGGTGACAGGAGAAGAAATGTCGTCGTCATTTGCCCTGTACAGTTAGGTTCAGGCCTCTCTGACCTGCTGCCCTAATCCCTGAGATTCTGAGTGGTGTCTTTGTTCTGTGGACTGATCATTTTAGAACCAATCTATTTTTCTGAGTCTGTAAAGCTGAAAAATGGTAATGTCAGAGGTCAGCAGATAGACAAAAGAAGCCACTTTGTCTCCAAGCCTGTAGAATGTTAAGAGCTTTGTCTTATGGGATTCTTGCTGTTTGGGACTTTGTTCCTGATAGATGGACAAAGATAGCTCAAAGGCCAGGGAGAAGTGGTGTGTTGTATGCAAAAGCCTCCATGCATTAACTCTAGGGACAGACATCTCTGAGTTCAGAGCTCTGTTTCTCATTAGCAAGTTAAGAGAGAATAGTCTTCTCACCACAGGTTGTGCATAGCTAGTAGGCATGAACCTTCTCTGTAAGCACTGCAGGCTTGTGTCTGAGGAGCTATCCTAGAATGGTCCAGGAACTCAGGATCAGAGATTGAAAAGGGGAAGAGGATTGCTTGTGTGAAAAAGTGGTAGTCAGGATGGAAAGTGGAAAAAGAGATGGCTGCACAACTGCACTCACTGCTGGATGCAGCCAGTAGCCTGCCCTGTCTGCTCTTATGGCTGGCATCATGGCAAGCATGCTGGATTGGTTTCTAGATAGATAGCAGAGATGAGCCAGCACTGCAAGGAGATACTGGAAAGGTCACAAGAGGAAAAAAAAAGTTCTGCTTGAGCAGTACCACATGTTGCCCTCCTGCAGAGGTTCAAATCCTCATGAAGGCCCTAAGAAATAAGCAGGCATTGTTGGCTAGTGTTCTTGTTCAGCATAAGATCCAAAGGAGGATTTATGTTTTCATAAATGTGTTAATGGCTAAACCCAAGCCCCCAATGCTTACTTGAACACTTAGAGCCCTTGAGCAGCTCTGTTAAAGAGGAAACATGCTTGCCACAGTCCACTAATGTTAGGGTATGCATTTTTCACACTAACATCTCTGCAGTTGTGTTACATCTGCCAATCATTGGCATCTTCTAACACTGTGTTTTCCACTCATTGCTGTCCTTGGACTTTGTGGAATGTGGCCTGTGGAATTAGATATTGAACTGTGGGGTTCCATTGTTCTTCATGCTTTGCAGTCTGGCCTAGGTTGTACATGTTGAGTAATGCAATGCCCATCCCAGGTGTGTGACCAGGAGCTCCCATGTCCCTTGTTTCTGGAGAGAGCCAATGACATCCTTTTGTTTTGCAGGCTTTTATCAGTAGAACACAAGCAGATCTTCTACCTTCAGGGCGCTAACTACAAAAGGTGTGGTGAGCCTTTCTCCTTGCCCTGGCCCTTTTGTTCATTTCAATTTCTGTGGCCCTCTCTGGAACTTCTCTGGGTCCATCCTCAGCAGCAGGCCTGTCCCAGTATAACTCATTCACCTTGCTTTTTCCTGGGAAGAAGAGGGAAGGGAACAATGGTTTGTTTTAGCATGGAAGAATGCTAAACAACTTTCTTATCCTTCTGAGACAGAAACTGCTGGCTCGATGACCTGTGAGGGCTGTTTCTGCATGTACCCTCCATCTTTTCCCAAGGCTTCTCTGTAGGTAAGAGCTTCTAACCCTAGTCACATCACTTCTCAGACTGCTAAGTCTTTACAGCTGAAGGTCCCTCTCCTCTGAGATGGACAGTGTCACCTAGCAGTATGCTTGCCCAGACGACATGAACCAGGTCAAAAGTAACCGAGAACTGTTCCTACAATACTCAGCCACAGCCCCCAAACTGCTGGCCCACGTCTCCAAACTCCTCATTGTCTGCCGAAACGCAGGCATTTCCATACCCAAAGGCATCAGAAATATCTTTGAGTTCACCTGGGAGGAGCTCATCAGCGACCCTGCAGTGCCTACCCCATCTGACATTCAGGATCTAGTGGTCACCTTAGGAACTCCTACAGTGGTGCTTACAGAGGTGATTCCAGTGCAGGCCCCCATGCAGAAGAAGCCACCCCCACCACCCCCACCACCCCCGGTGTTGCTCACGGCCACCAGCGGGGGCAAGCACTCAGCCCCCACCCCTGCCTCTACTCGACTGGTGCCCACTGGCCAAGATACCCTGCACAAGTTCCAGCGGCAATCCATCCACCTGTTGACGGAGCTGCTTTCCCTGAAGATGAAGGCCATGGTGGAGTCTGCCTCTGGTAAGGCTGCTCACAGATTCCCTTCCGTTTCTGCACAGGTAGGTGGTGTGTGTGTGTGTGTGTGTGTGTGTGTGTGTGTGTGTGTGTGTGTGTACTACATTCACCCCAACAGATATGAGTTGAGCATCCATAATCCATAATCTAAACTACTGTGCAGTCTGAGGATGTTGAGTGCTCATATAATGTCACAGAATATTTCATAGCTGACGGTGCGTGAGTATTTGCATGTTTGCAATCAGGGTGCGCATGAAACATCAGAGAATTCTGTATCTTTGAGTCCCACCCCCAGATATTTACTGAAAGACATTTCCAAACCCCACTCTCCCCAAAGCCCCCCACACTTTTAGCCCCAAGCCCTGGGATAAGGCACACTTAACCTGTATAAGTATGCACTGGGATGGTGGCCATGGGCATGCTGCAAGAAGTGTGTTTCCCTCTCCCCTGAACAGAAACCTCCTTTCCCCCCTCTGCTTTCCCACTTCCCTCCCAGTCATCCATCTCTGGAGTGCCCATTTCAAAAGTTAGCAGTGGTGGCAGTGAGACATTAGAAATACTAACTAAAGGGAGCGTTTGAGGTGATGGTGCAGAGGGGGACAGAATATAGAATTTGTGAATCAAGATCCTGGTCCAGCCAGTGTCAAAGAAATTCTGAGCCCAAGGCCTCCAAACTTAAAAGCATCATTCCAAGGCTGGAGAAAACCTAAAGCAGTATCAGCAGCAGCTTCTTGGAGGCCTCAGTGCTCAGCTGTGGACAAGCAGGCAGGTGGGTGGGCAGGCAGGTCGACTGGGAACACAGTGCTGCCTGCTGGATCTCTAGCTCTCTGCCCAATTGTGTGTGCATGTCAGGAGCTCCTCACCCTCACACCAGGAGTGAGTCTTCACTTTTATTTCCTGGGCCATTTGCAATGGTCTTTTTCTGGAGGAGTCATCCATGCCAGGAAGAATACACTTTGTCTTTGCTCATTCCCTCAGCAGGTGCCAATCCTCTGGATATCACCAAGCGCTTTGTGGAGGCCAGCCAGCTCCTCCATCTCAATGCCAAGGAGATGGCCTTTGACTGCCTGATTGGCACTGTCGGAAAAAGCTGTCTTAGTGCAGTGCAGCTAGGGAAAGGTGGGTGCCCTCCTATAGGAAAAAATGCAAACAGAGCCAACGAGAAGGTGCTAGGCAGTCAAAAGCTACATTTGAAAGGCCAAAGCACCCATCAACTGAGATGGCTGTGGAGCAGCAGGAGCCATAGACATCATGCTGCTGGCAAGGAAGGCTCATGCACCTCTAGTGGAGAGCAGCCTAGTTATTTATTGGTAGAAATGTCTGTACCTCATAGCTCACAGCCTGGCCTCTCTTTCAGGTCCTTCTGGAGTATGTTTCTCAACAGACTATGGTCAGGGTTCTAAAGTTTCTGATCTGTTACACACCAGCCCTTTAGTACACATGGTAAAGATGTCATAGCAATGAAGTCACTATTCAGATTGCTGTCAGTCCTGATACTCTCTCTGAGCTCACCTGTTCATGGCATATGGGAATCACCTCCCATCTGTTGGCCACAACTCAGCCCCATGCATACAAGCAGTCCTACAGGAATGCTTATTATAGAATCATTTGGAAAGATAGAAAGATTAGAAAGAGCTGCCCATCAATGGATATGAATACATTATGGCCCATGAAGATACAAAAATGAATAAATCAAGCTGGGCACATGCGCGTGCACACACACACAAACCCCTACCTGTCATTCTGGCACTCAGGTAGACTCAGGAAAATTAGGAATGAAGGGGTCCTCTTCTCATGTCCCTAAAATTTTCCCTGCCTCAAACCAATTACAGATTAAAAATATTTTTAAGGGGACTAAGAGATGGCTTGCCAGTTAAGAGCATTGGCTGCTTTCTCATAATGACCCAGGCTGTTTCTAGCACCCACATGGCAGCTCACAACTATCTGTAACTCCAGTTCCAGGGGATCTGGTACACTCTTGTCTCTATGGGCACCAGGAATGTATGTTGTACATAGATACACATGCAAACAAAATATACATATACATAAAATAATAACAAAAGCTTTAAAAACATGTTTAAGAGATTGCCTTTGTCTGGGTGGTAGTGGTACTCACCTTTTAATTCCTCCAGAGGCAGAGCCAAGCAGATTTCGGAGTTAGAGGCCAACCTGGTCTACAGAATTCCAGGACAGCCAGGGCTGCACAGAGAAACCCTGTCTTAAAAAAACAAAAACATAAACAAAACAAAAAAAAACTGTCTCTGTTTTGAATGTATGCATTTTCCCTCATTGCTCTTTCCTAAATAACACATGGCAAACACTGGCATAACATTCATGTTAAGTGTCATGAGCCATCTGAACATAATAACATGTACTGGGTGGAGAGATAGCTCAGTTGGTAAAGTGTTTGCCACAGAAAATACTAGGATCTGAGTTCAGATCACCAGTAATACCATTGCCGAGGAGATATAGAGGAGGATCCCTGGGGCTTACTGGCTAGACAGTCTAGCCAATTCAGTGATCCTAATCTCAGAAATAAGAAGAAGTAAGCAGAGAGAGTTAGAATGTGTACCACTCTTGCAGAGGACCTGAGTCCATCTACCAGCACCGATGTCAAATTCCCTCAACTCCAGTTCTAGGGGATCCGATGCCTGTAACCTCTGCAGGCACTGACACACACACACACACACACACACACACACACACACTCAGAGAGAGTGGGTGGAACCAATGTCTTATGGATACTGAGGATGATTTTGAGGGGTAACTCTTACTGTCTTTAAAAGATAAGTTATATTCCATTTCATAAAGTACTTTGAACATATTTTCAGGATCATAGGCTTTTTTCTTCAAGGCACAGACCTCCTGAATCCCTCAGAGCTTATGATTTATGGGGTGATAGTGCTATGAGAGTTCAGCTGAACTGTGACCTGGAGGGACATGGGGTGGAGATGAGGAAGCCCCTCTCATCATGGAGCTCACTCAGAAATCTCTCACTGGCCAACTCTTGGTACAGATGTTCATCTCTCTCACTTTAAAATTTGTATTTATTGCTATTGTATAATGTGTATACGATGTGTACATGTGGTGGTCAGAGGATAGCTCTATGGAGTCTGTTCTCTCCTTCCATCATTAGACAGGTTTTGAGGATTGAACTCAGCTCATCAGGCTCTCCAAGTGTTTTTATCTACTGTGCTATCTCCCTAGCCTGAGATAGTCTTCTAGTCTTCTCTTTTAAAAAACTTTGAGGGTTTTTTTGGGGGAAGGGTGTGTGTGTAGGTGGTCAAAATAGTCAAATACAATAGAAGGAACGATCCATTTATTTATTTATTTGGGGGGGGAGCATTCACTTGACTCAGGATTTTAATGAGCTAGATTTCCCAGTGCATTAAGTTCAAAGTTTGATAATTTTTGGAAAATTTGTGTTTTTATTGGCTGCATTCTAGTAAGTTTGCCTGCCATATCTCTTCAAATCTAACCAGAACATACCCTTTGCTATGAGGACCTTTCCTTGATCACAGACTGCTTCCTGGTCGTCTTCCTGTCCTGACACCTGCCTTCCTGGCTTGTCAAAGACAAACACAGGACGGCCCCTTTACTCTCATTGGACAGTGACATTACTGAGTAAAATATCCCAAAACAAAAACACTCTTGTTATCTTGGTTCATGCATATATGTTTTGATAGTATTGTCATTGTCCCTCAGTTTCTATTACATATTCAGCTGAAAATGATTGCCAAGGTGGCTATATGGTTTGCAATACTTGTCATGTGAGTGGGGACAGATTCCCTTCAACACTCAAGTTCCATGTTTATCCAAGATTAGCTTCAAATGGTTTTTGCTTCTACTTCTATATGCAACTGTATGCATCACTTTTCCTTCTGTTGCATTTGTTAAAATTAATTTGCCAGGTGAGGGATTACTGGGGCAGAGGGTCACAGTCTGTGCATAACTTTCTACATGATTTTTCTCTACATGGACAGGTTGACCAGCATCAGTTATTACTCGTTTTTCTAGAGTAAAAGGTGCTGAAAGCTATTTTAACTTTAATACCTGAAACACTAGCAAAAGTGATTTTTCTTGTGTTTTTATCATCCAGGGTGGAGGCTCTATTTATAATCTTTGTCTACTTAATGAGGTTGAGTCTACCATTTTCTTTATGAATTTGAGTGTGTTGAGTGAATTTCTGAGCATTTTCCAACACTGATTTCATGCCCAACCAGTGACATAACTGTATCTGGGGAAAGAAAAGTGAATGAGGCAATGGGCTTTGTTTAAAATTGTAACTAAGAGTGCACATAATCTACAGAGACCATTTGTGCTCTTCCCTTTGGCTGTCAGACTACTGACACAATGAACCCCAAAGAATGGGAATTTCCCCAGGAGTCTCATGTCTGGGAAGGAAAAGACTTGGGCTTTGTGCCAATCAGTGGAGAAACTTGTCTCCAAGAAAGAGATTTCATACAGAGCAGGCAACTTGCTGGATATACCTTAGAAGCAATGCTTTGTCAGTGTAGGGCAGGCCTGCACCTTGGGCAGGACTGCTTAGTAATATGTAAGTCTTGTTCTCTATTTAAACCTAAGCCTCATGTTAGTACCAGGAAGATGGATTTGTGGGTTGGGAGGGGTCAGTGGACCTCTTTATTTATTCCTCTTCCCAATGTGGCCAAGGGTGCCACATTAGAACTAAGCAGCCACCTATCAGATGGTGGCACAGAAGACAGTGTGATACTGTGGGACTGAGAGGCTGTTGGAAGAACATCTGATTCCCATGCATTAGGTAATGGGAGAGCCGACTCTCATTCCTTCCTACTTGCTGCCAAGGTTTGTCCACACCTAGTGCCACACTGACCATTTGCACTTGCCCTTAGAAGAATTCACCCTGTGCTTGCTTTCTACTTGTTATGTAAGTGTGAGAGGCTCTTCACCCTTGAGAGGCTGGGTGGGGAGACCTGTAAAGGGGAGCCTTGAAATGTTACTGACTTTACTTATGCATCTAGAAGTCTTTCCTCAGAAGACTTCCTGGTTAGTTTATTACTACAGGTAACTTTGCAACATCTGGCCCACCATCTTGTTTAAACAAGAAAACTATATTACATTTTTGTAATTTAACTGACATTTTAAAAGATGGTAAAGAAGAATCATTCTTCTTCCCTAGAATCCCCCATGAACATTTCTGCCATGGGAGTAAATACTCCTTACCAGCTTGTCTATCAGACTTCCACAGCCTGTCTGAGCTTCTCCCTTTCTACAGGAAAGGAAGCCAAGAAGAAAGGTGAGAAAGTAGTGTTTCCAGTCAGGCTCTCTCTCTCTCTCTCTCTCTCTCTCTCTCTCTCTCTCTCTCTCTCTCTCTCTCTCTCTGTCTCTCTTTCTGGGACAGGGCTTATACACATACCCCCATGCTTGGTGATGGCAAAATGAATGGCTGTATCTTCATCTAGCCTATGCAGTCAGCATGGTTAGGTCTCATGTCTGATAGAAGGGTGCTCAGCTCACTGAGATTCAGCAGCCTGTGACATAGATTCTTACAAGCACTCCAGAGCTGCAGCACCCCCAGTCACTGAAATCAGAATTGTATTCCATTCCCATGTATGTCACCCACACATTCCTTCACCCCAGGCAGTATGCAGACCCCGTACCTGTGAATGAGACCGCTCTATCCAGCCACACCATCAGTGGGGAATAGTGGTAATTGTATCCCAAACTTAGCAGGCTACAGTTCTGTTTTCTAGAAGGGGCTACTATGCATGGGCAGAAAGCAAACCCACAGAAATCTCTCCCGCCCTGTTGAGAAAGGCCCACCCAGAAGGGAGGGAACTTTAGGGAAAACAGGAGGTGAGGGAAAAAGCTCTGAGGGGAGAGTGCAGCAGAGAAGGGCCTCCTGGGAGTAGGAGAGGTGTCAGAACCTTCCATCCATCCTGTCAACTGTGATGACAGCATGGACTAGACAGACAGGCAGGGGAGGAGTGGGTAGTGAAGCAGGGTAGGGTTGCTCATGTTGTCCCTTTGATTCCCACAGACCCTGGAGGTAAGGCTGGAAATTGAGAAGCTTGAAGCCAAGTCTTCACTCATCCTGGCTGCCCATGTGACTTGCATTCCTCATGCTTCACTGTCCTTGGTAAAAGGGGACTGGTTATAGGGGACTATGGAGGCATCAGCATTAAGCCCCACTCCATTGCTATTGCTGTATTCCTCAGTCTCTGATGTACCTTTAATTACTAACTGGCTGAGCACAAAAGAGCATTCTGCAGTCCTCCCTCAGAAGAAGTAATGCTCAAGAACTCACCTCTAAAGCCCACCATATTCTATCTTCTCACCTCTAACTACAGGCAAAAAGGCTGTTGATGAGATCACACCCCCACTTGCTCGAGCCCGAACCCCTCCTGAAAGCACTATCATGGAGTTCCAGGACCCCTGCCCTGAGGCACGGGAAAAGCTGCAGGATATGTGTCGCCACATGTGAGTGCCTAGATATGGGGATGGCATCTACAGGACATGGGACACAAGGAAACATGGGTATCACAGCAGTAAGTGCACACCCCACGTCTAGCTATGTCCTACACACACACACACACACACACACACACACACACACACACACACACGAGTCCATGGTTCTTCCAATTTACAGATAAGTAGTTCCTGAGCTCACCTAGCTCTATCAGCCCAACACTCTCTGCCTCTGTCTGCAGCAAACATTCTTACCTCACCTAAGGAAGTCCTTTGTGTGGCTCCCGGCAGTTCATAGACTTTGTGTCACAAGTAGTAATGTTTTGGCATGATTTTCCAAGTGTTCAAGAAAAAAGAAAACCTCAAACAAAAAATATTACATCCACATGGGTGATTCATAGTATATTATTTGGGAATACTGTGGGGACTAGCATAAACCTATTTCTCAAAGGGTCCAACTCATAAAAATTAAAACCCTTTTCACGCCTAAGTCATATATGTCTTATGGGATCACAGGGCCAGGGCACAGGTAGGCAATTGTCACCCAGTTAATCTCTGTACTATGACATTTTAGAAGGAGCCCACCTGGAACTTGAGGGTGGGGGTAAGGGGATAGTCTGTTTCCAGCTGCTCCAGCGTTCCCTTTGTTTATAGCTCCACTCCATAGGTCCAGACAGATTGTCAGACAGAGCTAGCTGGTCTTTCCACTTCCTCCTAACAGTACCTTTGCATATGAGGAAGAACAGGAAGGAGATATGTGCTTTATGAAAAGGGGACTGGGATGGGAGACTTGGATACTGGGAAGGGGCTGTAGGAACCCTCTCTGGAGAGTGAGAACCGAGCGCCTAGAAGATGCGTTCATCTCCTTCCCACAGAGAAGCCGAAAGGATCTTGTGGAGAGGGAGGAATGGCTCCTGCCCCATGATTTTACGCAACTACAGGTCAAAGATACCCTCTCATTTAATGTTGACCTCCAAGGGGGACTCTCACCATCCTCCCACTGCGGGGACTCAGATTACTGCTTCCACTCCTCACCAGCCTTCCAGCCATCATGCTCACATGGGCCGCCATTCTCAAGAGTGGAAAGGGCCCAAGAAGTCCATCAAGCTGCATTACACTTTCTATGATGGCTCCTCCTTCATTTAATATCCTTTTTATGGGTGTTGCTCTTTCTCCCCAACTCCCAGAGAACTCCAGGGCATGAAACAGCTAACTATTCAATGGGGATTCTTGGTCAACTAGAGAAGCCTGGTGAGGATTCTTGAGGATCCAGGTCAAGCTCTGGAAAGACTGAGGAAGGAGTTCAAAGTTTAGGTACAAGTTCAGTATAGTTCAGGTCAGCAGGGGTACATCAAGTTCCTGAAGCTTGTGAGAAGCTTGTCTGTGCAGATGGATCCCTGCTTTCAAGGCTCTGCCAGGAGAGAGGAAGCTACAGACAGTGTGGTTCATTTCCCACTTCCCTAAATGCTCTGGGGAGGGTTGTTTTCCAGATCCTTCTTCACTAGTTGTATACCCTGTGGTCCTTGCATGTCACCACTAAGGTTCAAGTGTTTGGAGTCTAAGCTCTCATCCCCTATGCTGCACATCTGTTTGACCTGCAGCTGAGGTTTGCCTTGGGGAGCCTGAATCTGAATGTTGGGTGCAAATGTGGCAGAAGAGGACACATTTCCCATGAGTCTGATGGGCACTATAGACCCTCTTTCTAGAAATATGCACATGTGTGTATAACCACACAAGTGCAAATTGTGAGATGTAGCTGCAAGTAACTTATGGCCCATGGAAAACTGCTTTTGTGCCTGGGCTTGAATTGTAGCTCAGGAAATATCAGATGTTGAAAAGGAAGATCCCTTCAGAGGGTAAACCCTAGGTCTGTGCATGCCTTGGGGTATGTTGAGTTGACTGCTTTCTCTATTCACAGAGATGTAACAAGTAGTTATTGTGTACAGTGGGTCAGTAGAATGAACTGGATAGGCCATTTGTGAAAACCTCAGAAGGAACAACTTTAATTTGATTGCTGTCTTCTAAAATTAGGGGAGGAGTTTGAACTTGGCTATAAGGTAAAAAAGAGAGATCTCTTTGAAAACATGGAGGTGGAAAGTTCCCTTAGACATTGTCCTTTTCAAGCTCCTTTTACCCATTGCTTCCCCAGCATCTTCTAGAGCTATACCAGATCCAGAAGCCCACACTTAAAGCAATGTGGCTCTGAGTTCATTGGAGGCAAAACACTTATTCCAGGTTCTGAATTACACTGATCTCAAGGACAGGAAACACGGTCATTTAGTTCTGCTCCTTCGCTGTAGGAACAGGGAAACTTAGCCCCAAAGAGGAAGTGTGACCTAATATATGTCACAAAAAGAACTTGGTAGCAAAGCCTCAAGGGAAAAATGGCTTTTGTGCCTTTGGGAGAGATCATGGAAGGGAGACTTGGAAGAACCCTGGGTATTCAGATCTACCATTGGATCAGAGGACAGGTGTCTGAATTATCTCATCTACTTTCCTGGGGCCATGGCACCAAACATGCTTAGCAGCAGCCTCCTCACTTTGTTATACTCCCTTTTGACTGAACTGGGACTTAGGATTTAAGTGCTATGTCAAAGAGGTTTCATTGTTCTCTTCACATAAATGAATCCATTCTTCATACTCTCCCAGCCCTGTTTCTCCTGCTTTTCAACACAAAGGAAGCAAACTACTTCCAAGGCAGCTGCTGCTTGAGAAGACATGGGGTTCCTTTGCCCCATTTCTGATTCTTCACTTTGTTAACCAGGTTCAACACCATGTTTCCAAGTTAGCTTTCTATCAACAGGACCAGAGAAGGGTTGCCTTGGATCTTTGTTCTTTCTTGTCCCAGAATTATGAGGTGTCCTATGTGGAACCACCTCACACCTCTTACCCATTGAAGCAGGAATATTTGACTTCCACTTCAACAGCAATGAAATCTTGACAATTAGTCCATTTTCTCCTTGGGAGTTATGGATAAAGACCAGGTTCAATTCTTTTCTATATTTATTATTTGTCTTATTGGTGTGACAAATATACAACACCAGGTCTATTTGGGGAAGAAAAAGTTTATTTGGCTCTTGGTTTAAAGGTACAGTCCTTCATGCGAGGTATGGTGGCAGATGTGTGATTATGAGTCACAGCCAGGAAACAGATGAGATGAATGTCAGTGCTCTGCTTGCTTCTTCCTTTTTTTCTAGTTTGGGACCCTGGCCCATGAAATGGTGTTGCCCACATTCTAGATAGGTCTTCCTAACTCAGTTAAACCCCTCTAGGAGAAATGCCCTCACAGATACCAACAGAGGCTTGACTCCTACATAATCCTAAATGTCATGAAGTTGACAGTCTACATTAGCCATCACAGTGACCTGCATACATTGCTCAATCTGTGTGCCTCACATGTTGAGTGAACTGGATCCAGTAATCTTAAAGAAATTCTGTGTCACTGTGTTCAAAGACTAAGGTCCACCAGCCAGCTGTTGGATCTCTCCTGAGTGAAACATGTTTGGAAAGTTTTTCTTCACCTCCTGGCTTCTTCAGAACACTGGCTTTAGTCACTATCTCTGTTTTTACATACAGAGCTCAGATAAAAGAGATAGGTCTTTGTTCATGGTGGCCGAGTTGGCTAGTTGCAAGCCATAGCTGGTTTGAACCTCCTGGTGGAGGCCTCAGAACCAATTCTGTGCTCCTGCCATCATTCTTTGCAGAAGTCAGTTGGAATCCCCTGGTTTGGGCTTGTGTTTTCCTGATGACAGTGAGGCTGAACAGCTTTGCATTTGCTTCTTTTGGACAGGTGGTGTTTGGAAAGTGTGTGTTTTAGTCTTTTGCTCATGCCTTGATTGTGTTTTGGTGAGGCAGTTTCTAAGACTTGAACCTAAGGCCTCAAATGTGCCAAACACACTCTGCCACTGAGCTCTACCTCTAATCCCAAAGGTTATTAGTTTTGATGATGTCCAAATTTCCCCATTTTGTTGCTAATGCTTTTGGTTTCACATCTGTGACATCATTGCCAAATCCAAAGTCATGAAGGTTTATCCTGTATTTTCTTAATCAGGTTTATAGGTGAAGCTCTTAATATAAATACTTATATTGAGGTATTTAGAGCTGATAGTTGCATCTTGTATGAGCTAAGGGCCTAGTTTCATCCTTCTGCACACAAGTGTCCTATTGTCCCAGCGCCATTTGTTGAAGAAACCATTCTTTCCACTTAGAATGATCCTGGAAATCTTGGCAACAATAAATTGACTATAGTTGGAAGGATCTAATTTTAGACTCACCTTTAATCCACTGTCCTAATTTTGGTGTCTGTCCTTATGCCAGACCACATTGGTTTAATTATTAAAGATTTGTGGTAAGTTTTTAAATCAACAAGTGTTGTGAACCTTCCCAGTTCATTTTTTTTCAAAATTATTTGGTATTCCTTTCTTTTTTCTCTTTTGAAACAGGGCCTCTCTGTGTAGCCTGGATCTCACAGAGATTTGCCTGACTCTGCCTCCTAAATGCTAGGTTTAAAGATTTGTGTAACCATGCCCAGCGTCATTCAGTTCATTTTACTTCTGTAGATACCCTCTCTTTCCTGGCTTTCTGGGACTCCTGCTCCTGTTATGCATATGTTTGTGTGCCTAATGATCTTTCCTGGGGCTCTGAGGTTCTATTATTGGATTTACAAAAAAAAAAAAAAAAAAAAAAAAAAAGATAGTATCTCGTTGTAGTTTAAACTGACCTGAAACCACGTAGGCCAGGCTGCTATAGGACTCACAATCATTCTCCTGCCTCAGTTGTCCAAGTTCTGAGAATCTAAGCATGAGCTGTCATACCCAGTTCCTTCTTTTCCTTTATGATGTACAGTCCTGATAATTTCAGCTCAGTGGTTTTCCAGTACAATGACTTTTTTTCTTTTATTGTTTTAACTTGCTTTATTTGTTTAGTGAAATGTTTCTTTGAATGTTTGTACGATCTACCCAGCTCTAGAATTTCTGATAGGTCATTCTGTGTCATTGCTACTTGCTTATCACCTTCCCTCTTTCCATTTCTGTTTTTATTTGGCTGGTGGGGAAGATTTAGAAGGACAGATTACAGCACCAGTTGCTACAGTCCTCCTATCTGGAGTTCTTCTGCAATTCTATACAGAGAAGTAAGTAGCTGCCAGCATAGCTCTTCTGAGGATCAGTGCTTTTGGGGGCCTCTTGAGCCAGGGAAGAAACAGAGAGAACATGTTTTTTCCATAGATTCATCAAAAGTGGAGGCATCCTGATAGTGCTAGAAATACTGCTGGCTCTGGAGCTCATGCCCTGACTCTGTCACTCATGTATGGTGAGAGATGAGGCCAGGAATGAGGTGACCTCTTCACCCTGGTTTTCCCAAGACCTTCATGTTTTAGCACTAAAAGTCTATGTCCCTAATACCATTTAGACCTGTGAAAACTCCGACATGTGAAACGGAGAAAGGACCACTTCTCTTAAGGCAGAAGAACCTGGAGCATGGCTGGGTTCCATACTTATTTAAGTGTAACATATGCAAAGCACAGGCAGGATCTTTGAAGGAAGGGAGCAATGCACGACAGAAGACTCCTTTCATATGGAGGCTTGTTTCTTTGGGGACCCTGATAGCCAATACCTGGAGAGTCCTCTGTTAGTTTGACTTGACTGTGTCTGCCAGCTATCCCTCCGGAAACATTGCCATGCTTCAGATTCCCACGTGCTGCAGAGGGAAACCCATCACCTGCCTCTTTAACGACATGCCTAACACCTTCCTGGCTCTGTTCAATGCTGAAGGCCAGGGCTGTGTTTACTACAACCTGAAGAACTGGTGAGTAGATCAAGGGAAGGCTAGCCTCATGAAATATCCCTTGATGTAACTGGTACGATGTATAAGGTAGTGACTAAAAGTTCCTAGTTAAAGGTGGCTAGGGAGGCACTGAGGCAGGGTGAAACAGTGCCTATAGGAACATATGGTACTTTGAGGCCCAGCTGCTGAGTGCATGTTGCACTTTCTACAGTGAGAAGGAGCCCAGTCTAAGTCCCCCACTGGGTACACTGGAACACTAAGATCTCCATATTCTTGGTCAGATATACAGGGTTGTTTTTTGTTTTTGTTTCATTTTTGTTTGGTTGGTTTTTGAGTCAGGGTTTCTCTGTGCAGCCCTGACTGTACTGGATCTTGCTCTGTAGACCAGGCTGGCCTCAAACTTACAGAGATCTGCCTGCCTCTGCCTCCCAAGTGCTGAGATTAAAGATGTGCACTACCACCGACTGGCTGATACACAGGGTTTTTGTTGTTATTGTTTTTCAGTGCTGAGGACCAGAACCTCATAAATGCTAGGCAAGTACTCTTCCATTGAGCCACATCCCCAATTCTCACCCCTGGAAGAATTCTTTAGTGGAAAAAGTGTCTTACACTAGGAACGGGTAAACAATTTGGTGGTGTATTAAATACTTTACCTATTACTGTAGCAAATTACCTGGCATTAACAACTTGAAGAAGGAAAGGTTTATTTTGGTTCACAGTTTCAGAGGTGTTAGTTTGTCATAGCACAGTGGAATAGAGTACTTCACATCGTATGACCTAGAATAAAGAAAGGAGCTTACAGCAAGGGATCAGAGCAAAACTACAGCCCTCCCCAAGATACAACTCAGTGACTAACTTCCTCCACCTAGGCTTCCTCTTGATTTTTACTACCTCCTAATAATGGCATCGTATTATGAACCCATAAGGATTAATCTACTGATCAGGACAGAGCACCCAGTATCTGTTCATCTCTGAAAGCACAGATAGACCCAGAGGCATGTTCCACTAATCTAGGCATATCCAAACTACTCAAGTTGACAGCTCAGATGAATCACCACGTGTGTGTGTGTTGGGGGGTGTCTCTTAAGACAGCACATACTCCTGACAGCCAAAAGTTGTTCTTTGTGTAGCTTTTTATAAGTTGTTTTTAGAATAAGTTACTTCCTTTCATGTATAGATGTTTTAACTCACATTTTGGTGCTTGATACCTTTGTGCCAGGCTTCTGAACTACAGAAAAAAAAATCATTTTTCTTCCTCTTGGATTTGCTTCAGTCTGTATTATCTGCCTTAGCCTGTATCTTCTCCACAGATGCTTCACTAGCACCAGTTGGTGTAAGGAGTCTTAGGCTACAGTGGGTGGAAAGGTGAACTGCTCACAGGAGTCTTGAGACTCTTTCCTTCCCTTCCTCAGGTTGTTTATGTCAGGTAAACATTCCTTCAGACCGGGGCAGACTCTCCCAGCCCTGCCTGTCTGTACCCTGTAGTGATGAGGGAGTCTTTCAGGGCCTATAAGTAGTTTCTATCTTCTGTATCTCCCAGCTGTCCATATGTATTGGTTTTGGATGAAGAAGGTGGGATCACAAATGACCAAAAGGGCTACATAGTCCATAAGTGGAGCTGGGCTAACAAGACTGAGACATTGCTCTCTCTGGAATACAAGGTACGTGGGCATCATGGGCAGGGGGTGGCTCCCACAGGCTACTCAGCATCAAAAGGCAAGTACCTGTAAGACAGCACTGCTCCAGTGACCACATGATCTTGTTCAGAGGTCATGAGTTGGTCAACAGGGATCCAGAGTAGGCTTACTTGCTTTTCACTAGCCTGTAGCAACTGTGGCTACTTTACTGATCCTTCACGGCAACCTCCTTCCTATTTGATTTTTATTTATATTGTTGCATTTTATATTCATTTTATGAAGCAACATTTATAGTAGTTGACAACTTTATTTTAAATAATATTTTTTAGTTTTTTTTATAAATTTTATTACATTTATTTTGTGTTATAGAAAACTGTCTAGTAAAGAACCAAGCAATACTTGAAGAGTTGGAGAACTTGGGCTCACTTTTATGCTAGCTAGCCTGGACTGAGCCTGTGTTCTGCAAGTCCAGCTGCCCATTTGTAATTTCTTATGGTTTTTATAGGCTTACATCAGTTTTGTAATTTCTTACCTACATGGATATTTGCAGGTATTCTTTGTGTTTCATGACCATGGAGGGAAAATTTCACTGTGGTTAAGCATGTTTACAGAAGTGAACATTATGGGCATCCATTAGGACATTCTACCTTCAGTAAGCAAAACTTGTTTTCTAATCAGACAGCTAGCTAGCTGTGTCAGCAGAGACACAAAAACAGAATTTGGCATACTTATGCTAGAAGGAAGGCTTTAATTCATTGTCTCTCTATCTCTATAACTCTTAGGCCAGAATTGTTATTCAGCTATCAGAGTGTGAGACAGAAATTTAACTACGTAAGGAACAGACTTAATAAACACACACATAAGGGCATGCCATAACACACATGCAATGGTCAGGAGACAACTTTGCAGGAGTTCATTCTCTCCTGTTGTGTGAGTCCCAAGACTTGCATGCACCTTTCCACTGAGGCATCTTGCTGACCTTAGAGGTTTTTTGTTTGTTTGTTTGGTTTTTGTTTTGTTTTGTTTTTAATAGTACCCATTATATGACTTTCCTGAGAAGATGTGAACAAATGTCTATTCACTCTAAATAGGACATGAATGAATGACCAAAGAAATGGATCTACTACAGACCAGCTTGACAAACAGATGTTTTTACTGGAGTTATTTATCAATGTATGCATGATAATTACAAAGTCAGAATGACTCAAAAGCAGCTAGCTACATTCTCAGACATCTATCCCTGCCATGGTTGATAACCCACAAAAGATGCATCCCTGGAGTTCTCTACACAGCTTAAAGGCAGATAGACAGGTACCAGAGTCTCTCCAGACAAGTCAGCTCATTCCAGAATCTCCTCCTAAAAAGTTGTTTATTTCTTGTATAATCTAGGCAGGGGCCCTGTAAATCTTTTAAATTTCATCTTTCCTGGATTTGTAAGCTTGTTCATTTCCTAAGTATTTGGGGCCTCCTCCCTCCCTCCAGGACAGTGTTTCAGTTCAGAGGAAATTGCTGCAGAATAATGCTTATCTGTGGCAATAATACAGACAGATTAGTACTTATGATCTTTCTGCTCAGTCTTCTGAGTGCTAGGATTGCAGGTGTGCACCCTCATGCCCAGCTATTTATCACTGTGCCTTATTTTAGTTCACCCTGGACCTGCACAGCAAAGTCTATGCAGTCGAGAAGTGGCCTGGAATAGCAAGTGTCCCATGAATTATAACACGGGGTGACAGTGTATGATTCAGAGGTGGGGGAGAGGGAGGATTCTAGATAAAAATGAAAGAATTACTCCTAAAGGCTTTGTGTTGGGGGAACTGGTGTGGTAGCTTTTAAGGGTTCATATGTTCTTCCTGTGGAAGAAAGGAGACAAAAGGAGTAGATGGCATAGGGTGGAATGACATGTACCAGGTATCTGACTCTGGGGTGTTTGCATGCTGTCTTGAACCAGTTTTAACTCAGATACTGGCTATTTCTAACTCCCTTCATTCTGTCCTCCAAGTCCAAGTTACTCTCTGATATTATTTCTCTTCAACTTGAAGAACTTCTTTGCCATTTCTATAAACACAGATCATCTGGCAACAAATTTGCTGTTGTTTTCATGTGAAAAAATGTCATTGTTGGGGGATATTTTTATGGGATATGAGATTCTGGGTTGGCTTTCTTTTTTTCTTTTAACATTTTAAAAATGGTGTCCATCCATTGTGCATTTTCTCCACAGTTTATGATGAGAGTCTGATCTGTAGTTACCCAAATTTTTGCTTTCTCTGGTTGCTACTTTTTAAAGGTTTCTCTTGGTTTCTAGGGTGCTGGTTAGTTTTTTATCACTTTGACAAAAACCTAGACTTATCTAGGAAGAGGGGATCTTAATTGAGGAATTGACTTTTTAAAAGAAAGGAAAGAGCTGAACAAGTGATGAGGAGCAACCCAGTAAGTAGCATTCCTCTATGTCCTCTACTTCAGTTTCTGTCTCCATGTTTCTGCCATGCTTGAGTTCCTGTTTTGGCTTCTCTAAGTAATAGACTGTGATTGGGACATGTAAGTCAAACCCTTTCCTCCCAAACTTGCTTTTAGTCGAAGTGGTCTTTATCACAGCTATAGGAAACAAACTAGGACACTTAAAGTTTCATGATTTATTTAAGAATGATTGTCGTGTTTATCATATCTGTTCATTTTTTAGCCTTTTTAAACTGTAAATATATGTAAATTATTAATTTGGAAAATCTTTTATCATTTCTAGACAATACAAAATACAAGTATGTCCCAGACTTTCTCCTTTTCTTTAGAGTCTCAAATTATATGTATTGTATGTGTGTGTGTGTGTGTGTGTGTGTGTGTGTGTGTGTGCCACATGTGTGCAGATGTCCATGAAGACCAAAAGAGGGCATTGAATCCCTTAGCAAGCAATTGTGAGACACCCAATGTAGATGCTGGGTACTGAATTCTGGTACTCTGGAAAAGTAACAAGCTTTTAATTCCTGACTATCCCATGGGTCTTTCAAGCTCTTTTTTTGTTGTGGTTCTAATTTTGTCTCTTTACTTTTCAGGATTGTGTACGTTCTCTTGATCTGTCTCTAAGTTCTCTGACTTATTATCATTTTCTTTTTGCTTTTATGGTAGTCTTATGAAAAGTTTAAATTTCAATATTCTAGAATTCTCTCTCTCTCTCTCTCTCTCTCTCTATATATATATATATATATAGAGAGAGAGAGAGAGAAGTTATCTTTTAACAGTTCACAGCATCTTTGAATATTATTATATCAGGTGTCTCAGAGTATAATGTGTGAAGATTTCTGTGTCCTAATTGTGTCAAACATGGTCAGCTTTAGTCAATGATCTGTTGACTTGAGACTGGCTCATGATTTACTAGTCCTTCTTCTACTATGGATTTTTGGGTTAAGACTGCCATTGTTATATTGTGGAATCTTGAAATCCTGTTGCCTTTCTGAGAATGGAATTGGATGTGCTTGTTCAAAAAGGCAAAGAACTTGGTCAGGCTGAAGCTATGACCTTTTCCCTGTCAGCAGTAGACAGAACCCCAGGTCACAGCATTTTAAATTTCTCTACCTGTGAGCTATCTCGAGACTTGTCTTTTCATGCAGGGTTCAGAGACTGGCCAGAGATGTGGGCAAGTTTGTACTTAGAATTCTAGGCTCTCCTCAGACTCAGTCCCTTCCAGAACTCTTTGTATACTTTACTGGGCCTTCTGTTGCTCCTGTTCTGTTCTTTGGATTCCTTCACCAGAAGGTAGTAGTTTTATCCATGACTGTGGCCTCTAAGCTAAAGCTTTGAGACAGAAGTTCCTCTCATGTGAATCCTTAAGTTTTGACTCTTCAACATCTGCCTGGCTTTGCTCACTCTTCTGAGTCACTAAGTAGTTGTTTTGGGGGGTTTTGTTTTCTTCAACTTTTTAGTCTCCTGTGGGAGGGTCAACCTGTTAGAGGTTGGTTTAGCTCTACTAGAAGTGTAGGGCCAGCTGCTTAGTTTTTAGGCTGAGAGCTGGAATGCTTAGTTCAGCCTTAATGTGGAAGGTTAACAAGAGGTAGAGATAAAGAGGTGACTCAGTGCTTAAGACTGTGCATTGCTCTTTTGGAGGACCTGAGTTTGGTTACTAACTCCCACATTGGATGACTCACAATGACCTGTAACTCCAACTCTAGGGGATCTGAATGCTCTACCCCCCACAGGCACCTGCATTCGCATGCATATAACTCCCCATACACACATAATTAAAAATAATACATTTTTTTAGAAAAGAAAATACCAGCAGATGAATGAGTGGAATGACTAGTGAGGTTATTAGCTAGACTTAGCATGATTAAAGATGTTGGCAGTGTTTGGTTTTTGTTTTTGATTTTGTTTTTTTTTTTTTTTTTAACAGGAGCCTTTTCAACAGATGAATGCTAGTATCCAGGAATGAGCTGTAGAGATAGACGAGGATGAGGATATTGCAAAATTCCTGGGATTCAGAAACGAATACTAGCATTTTAAAATTAAATTTTAAGTTAGCATACAAAATAATGGGCTTGTTATAACATTTTGCACATATATATTACTCTACTGCTTACAGCTTTAGATGTACTACTTTGACTCAGTGGAATAATTCTCTGGGTACCTATGACCTTGTTTCTGACCTAGGACAAGGACTTGGAGAGAACAGACATGCCAGTTAGGAAATGTTCTCTTAAGAAGAGGAGCCTTGATGGACTTTATAGAGCATCCATATTGTGGGCTTTAGGAGAGGGCACATCCCCAGGGAAAGGGACAATAAATAAATAGTAGCAGTACTATGTAAGTTTTGTACATGTTTTAGCCTACAAAAGATGCTCATCACCCTCAGAGAGTGGCTATATTATTGTCTCCAGGCTCACAGGAGGTAATCAATTTCCCCAAATTGCCCAATTGGTTAAGAGGCAAACTGGAGTAGAATTTGGTCCCTTAAGCAAAGCTTGAGTTTCTAAAGACATGTCTATTCTACATTTCTCCATAAGACCTGGAACAGGTAATTTCTCTTAAGAATGATTAGCAAGTCTGAAGATGGCCAGAGACTTAGCACATCAGGTTTATTATCTTTTGGATACTTATGAGCCAGATCCAGATGACAGAGTGTGTGAGGCAGAGTCTCAGTGATGATAAAATGAGGCCCCAGCTACTAGGCCAACATCTGGACTAGTGGTAGTAGGAGGAGCAGGATAGAGAGCTCTCTCGATTCAGAATAGTCTGAGGTGTCTGTAGGTAAAGGGATATTGTTGGTCAGAACACTGAAAACTGGTAAGTGCACAGTGGTGGAGGGCTGCACACACTGTGACTGTGGATGAGTAACACTCAGAATAGCAAACTGTTAAGAATTAAAAGAGCTCTACATTCTCTCACACCATTCTCTTATGAGAAGCAGGAACATTTATAGTTTAAAAAGACATTTAAAACCTCATTTGAACAGCAGCCCCATGCTGAAGAGTTTGAGACTAAGAGAGACTGAACAGCTTGCTAGCAGAACAATATTCAAATCCATTGGTGCCTGAGTAGTCACAGCTGTCTGACTCAGGATTCAAGCTGGCAATCTCAGTGAAGCCTACAGGACTTAAGCTGATTTACCTGCCTGATACCTGTGGTGTTTTCATAGCTGTTTCTAGCAGTGAGTTGGAAGGAAGGAAGGAAGGAAGGAAGGAAGGAAGGAAGGGGAAGGAAGGGAAGGAAGGAAAGGAAGGAAAGGAAAGGGGAGGAAGAAAGGAAGGGGAAGGGAAGGAAGTAATGGAAGAAGGGAAAGGAAGGAAGGGAAGGGAAAAGAAGGAAGGGAAGGGAAAAGAAGGAAAGGGAAGGGAAGGAAGGGAAGGGAAAAGAAGGAAGGGGAAGGAAGGAAGGAAAGGGAAAGGAAGGAAGGAGAAAGGGAAGGGAGGGAAGGAAGGAAGGAAAGGGGAAGGGAAAGAAGGAAGGGAAGGGAACGAAGGAAAGGGAAGGGGAAGGAAGGAAAGGGAAGGAAGGGAGAAAGGGAAGGAGGGAAGGAAGGAAGGGAGAAAGGAAGGGAAGGGAGGGAAGGAAGGGAGGAAGGAAGGAAGGGAGGGAGGGAAGGAAGGGAGGAAGGAAGGGAGGGAGGGAAGGAAGGGAGGAAGGAAGGGAGGGAGGGAAGGAAGGGAGGAAGGAAGGAAGGAACAAGCAAAGAAGGCATTGCTTACTTTCTTTGTCAATCTCCAAAAGAACATTAGTATTCTGTCCTCTCCATGAAAGTTCTAGCAAAAGGGCCAGAAAAAGCTTACAAATCTTAGTTCCAAGAAGGGTTTGTGGCTTGGTCTTGGAAGCAGCAGGAATCCACAAGTGCTGGTTTCTTTATCTGCAGGTGAATGAACAAATGAAGTTAACAGTCTTGGGTCAGGACTCCATCACTGTCACCTTCACCTCCATGAATGAGACAGTAACAGTCAGTGTGTCACCCAAAAGCTGTCCCCATGGCATGGTGCATGACAAACGGGTAAGGCAAAGTAGATGAGTAGAACAAAGCAGGTGGGGCATCTAACCAGGGTGTCTCAGCAAGGGTTGCAATGTCATAGCTCAGGGACTTTACCCCCACTACCTTCTATGCAAGGCTCTTCCATCTCCTCATATTTAAGCAACTGTGAATGGAAAATTCTCAGAAAAAGATACTTCATCTGAACTAAGCACACACAGACTGTTTATACCTCACTCCCTGAATAACACAATGGAGCAATTGACTAGTGAAAGACCTGCATTGTGCTAGTTAGTATGCCATGTAATCTAGAGATGGTTGAAAGACACAATTCCTTATACAAGATTTGAGCACCTTCAGGTTGAGGTGTCTGTGGAGATGCTTGTAACGGTGAGAATGTAGATCCCACAAGCAAAAAGAGGTGACTGTATTTTTCATTATTTACTGAGGGGATAAAATTCAACAGAGTCTTTTCAAGTCCAGTCTTTCTATTCATGGCCTGACTGTGGCCTGGTCCAATCAACATCATAGAAAAGATAGAGCAGATGAAGAGGATGCCATCCCTAAACTGTGTGGTATCCAAAAGGCAATACTTGGCATGGGAAATAGAATTGGGATAACAGAGAGCTCATGTGAATGAGGTAGATCACTGTAATTCCCCTGTTGTTACTTTGCTGGGATTGCTTCTAGGACCAGAAGTACTTTGCCCAGTGCCAGACCCTTTACACTGGTCTACCTACAGGAATTACAAATAGTATCCCTTTCTCCTTCAGTGATGTCCTGGCTGGGATGATAAATTCTAAGGACCCGACCAAGAGGCTCTTAAGCTATGGGATATTACTATAGTATACCTTAAGCTCTCAGGCTCTCAGAGATAGCTGACTAAAGAGTTACTCAAAGACATGGAGCAGGCATTCAGTACAGATTCACAGTATATGAAGAAGATGCATACTCTCCCCAGAAGAAATCCTCATACCTGTTTTACCCATTGTATTTTCATTCCAGCAGCATTTCTCTTTCATGGATTTATTAAATAATTCAGCAAACATTTATTAAACACTTGTAGTGTGCCATAGCAGCTGATGGAGATGTAGAAATAAAGCCTTTCTTTCTAGTCTCTGGAACTTTCAGTCTAATAGAAGGGACAAAAGTATACACACCAATTATGAATCCAGCCTCATTAGTGTCTTGTGACAGGCATATGGGAGCTGATGAGACATGAGGAGAGACAGTGTTCATCAAGGCTGTCATGAAAACACCAAAGCTTTATCAGCTTTCAGGGTTATAACTATGGTGGGTTTAGATACATTACAGAATAGAGTGCTTAACTAGAACATGGGAGGCTAGTTCATCTTCAGCAAAAAGAAAGTAAGGGAGGAAAGAATTTAAGATAGTAGGCAGGTAGGCTAGATGAATGAGCTGAGATAAATAAGCTTGCATATTCATGTCTCTTCCATGTCCATTTGATTCCAGGTTCTTGCTCTAATGGTCATTGTTAAATGCATACTATGTCTGTTTGATGAGGCCATGACATAAGCAACTTAAACACAATCCCAAAGAACTGAATGAAATGACTCTCATGTCTGGGTGCATACTCTAAGCCTGGGAAAACTAATTCAAATGTGATTTTGCCTTACCTTAGTGTAACTGTAGTGAGCCAGAATTAGATGCCAAAGCTGTGTTGGTCAATATGGCAGACACAAGTAAAAGTCACACAGAGCTGTTGGACCTTTGAAGTACAAATCGATCAGAGATCTCAGTAAAAATTACATTCTGTGTTTCAAAGACTTAATGGGAAAACAATGAAAATTCTTCAGTAATTGTTAATTTTAATTGTGTGTTAAATGATCATTTTTATATACTGGGTAAAATAAATATAATATTAGAATTAATTCTAACTTTAGGACATTAAACTAGCCCACATTGTATTTCTTCTAGACTGTGCTAAATGTCGAAGATGAGGATAGAGTCTCCATCAAGGGGCTCACAAAGACACAGTCTGACAGTGCAGTAGAAGGGTGAAAAGTTATTTAAAATGACATAATAACTCAAAGAACATGACTATCTTGGGGGCATTTAACATAGGGATAAACAGGCCAATGCATTAAAATGGCCTCAGAAAACATGCTGCATTATAGATGACAAATACTGGTGACAGCAAAGGCTGGCTTGCCAAAAAAAGCATTGTCTGTAAATGCTTCTATTTAAAAATGCACAGTGTGTTCTATAATGTACATTTATAACAAGATGAACAGAAATAAATGAATAAATGTAATCATTTCCTGGGAGCAATGGGATTTCTAAACTTTGTCCTGAACACCAGGTTCAGCATTTCAAGTTATTTTTGCATGAACTTCCCAGGTTCAGATAACTGGTCATCTTAGATCCTTGGAACTGACAAAGTTTCAAGGACCAAAAACTTTCAGAGTTTTGGGTCTGACAAAGAGCTCGGGGAACTTCTCTGGTTAAGCCCAAGTTCTCCTATCTGTATAATGATGGCCAACCTGACCTTAATTCCATCCTGGGATTTTCCTTACAAACATACTATGTGTGCTTGTTTGGCTCTGGTTTGTAAATGCCTGGTCACCTAGAAAGACTGGGACTGGGGGAGGGTAGTGTCTCTGTCATTGGGAAGCTTGTTAAATGGTTTCCCCAGACACCCATCCCAGAGAGAATCACCTATCATAGTGACAGTCAAAATGGCAGTCTCCATTTTCACAGCCCTGAGGCCTGGCTTCACACTAAATATTTCTTTCTAGGCAGCACTTTGGAAACAAGGCTATGGTTTGACTTAAACGCTTCTAGTCCAGAGTGTCGCTTCAGATCCTTTTTGAAACCAGGGTGGATATAAATTACAAAAATAAATAAATAAAATTAGCCCGGAAGCAGTGCTAGGACTTCTCAGAAGGAGGCTGGGACTTTGCTAGTAACTGGGGCCATTCTTTACAGGCTTCTTGCCTACAGAGGAAAAAGACCAGCTTAGTCCTTGTCCAGAATACCTGTCTACTCATTCCACCTGAAGCTTAAATTCTACAGAAGAAGATTTCTCATATGTCTATCATTTTAAGAGGTCAATTAAAAAAAAAAAAAGCAAAGAGCCTGCTCTTTAGGAGCCAGCCAAGTTAAGGGATGTAGGAAGTGAAAAAATGAACAAGATCCAGGCAAACATGATGGGAATGGGTAGATGTGAATGTTTAGTAGAGAGCAAGTGCCACTGGCTGAGGAAACAAGGAAAGCTTCCTGGGAAAAAACCAGGCTGCAGTGAACTCTGGATTCTGAGCATGGTTTTGCAACACCATAGAGGCACTTGGCCATTCAGAGCAGCTTCCTCAGAAAATGAGACTGGTACACAGAAGTTTACTGGAAATGACTGCTTTGAGGAGTAGGAAAGACAGAGGTTGACCTTCAGGGAAGATGAAGCAAAGGCCTCTGGGATTCCACAGGGAGTCCAGATGACCCATCAGAGTCATCCCAACTCCAGGTGAAAGGCCTGGGCCTTTGTGCAGTAGATGATCCACTGGTCTCTGTAACCTTAGCTTTTCAGCTAGGGGTTATCTACAGCCAGTCCTCTGTTAGCTGGCTGGGTGGAAGGATTCTAAAAGATGCATATGCCCTACAGGGAGAGACTAGCAGTGGGCACTCCAGAGAAGCCCCTCTGCATCCGGTCATTCATAAAGCAATAATATTTACTGAATACCTTCTGCATGAAATCAGAGGACACCAAGGCACCATCCCCATCTCCCAGAAGCTTGCAGTTTAGGGAAATAGAACATACACACCTAATTGCTTAGTTAAGTGCTAACTTGTCTTGCACAATGGGAGTCAAGGCAAGGAGTAGTACTACACAGTGGAGTCAGAGAAGCCTTCCACAATGGGAGAATCTGAATCTGGCGCTGACTCAGGAAAGACTGAGCCAGGAGGGACAGAGATGTATTCTAGACAGAAGTGATAGCCACTAACCTTCAGAGCAGTCAGTCTTACTGAACAGGCAGACAGCTCCCTGAGGGCAGGCAACCACTACACCCAACCCCTTTGCCTTCTTCCAGCCAGTTCGCAGAATCAGTACCATGGATGAAAAAATGTTAAAGATAAACAGAGCCCTGGTTGAGATCAAGAAGCGGTTTCAGAAGACTGTGAGTCAGTTTATGAACTCCGTGTTGCTGGCAGCAGGTAAGGGAAGAAAGGTGAATAGGCCTACTAGAAGACCTCTTAAATCTTGGGTCACCCATCTTAACTTTCAGTCTTTCCACCTCTTGAGCTTTAGCCTCCTGAGAGGTAGAGGCACCCACTATTTTCTAAGGGGATTGCCTGATGGCACACAGCTGGGACTGAGATAACTTCAATTTCTGAGTTCTCCCCCATGTATCTTTAGTGTGTCAGTACAATTATGTTACTATCTCTCATAGTCTATAAGAGATGTTCCTATCTCTCACAGACTTTGTGCATCCCTTTGGGTCCTTTCTGCTTTGTCCCTTTTTCCTTCTGTTGTCTTTATGACTGGCATTTGCTCCTCCCTCTTCTGTGTATGATCTCAGAAGGCAAGAAAAATCCAGTCACTTCACAAAACTGTCCGTGCTAGACACGGGACACTCTTGGGCCCAGTGTGAGAGGCTTCAGGAGCTTTTCATGTCTGGGCTCTCTGATCTGCTGATAGCCCTTGGAAACAAGGTGCTACCAAATCCTACTCTGTTCTATCTTGGCTGGAACTGCAGCCATGCTCCCCACACAGCTTCTCCAAGGACTCTCTCCTTAGGAGTGGCTTAGCTCAATTGTGCCCTTCATTGACTTCCCTCACAAAGTGAAGCTCCCCCTCCCATTCTGATGGCTCCCATGGCTGATGGTTCTCAACACTGCTGTAGTTATAAATCTTGTTACCAGGGTTGGGGAGATGGCCCAATGGTTAGGAAGACTAGCACTTCCAGAAGACTCCTGTTCAAATCCTAGCACCCACATGGCAGCTCACAACTAACTGTCTGTAACTCTAGTTCCCAGGGGGATCTGACACCCTCACACCAATGCACTTAAAATAAATTTAAATTATATATACACACACACACACACACATACACACACACACACATATATATATATATATATATATATATAAAACCTTGTGCATATTTATCTCCTTGTCTGCCCATCCCGTTGTTTCTTGGTGGCAAAGAGCATGTCTTGTGTTGTCTTTATGCCTAGCATCCTCATTTAATAAATGCTTACTAAGCGAATGGAGCAGCAGGTCTCTAGCCTCAGAAATTTCTACTGGACTAACTATAAAAAGCAAGGCAAAAATCCAAAAAATCCCATAACACAACAAAGCAGAGTATGAAATTAGCCTCAGTGTAGAGACCTGAGGGACAGTATTCTCAGCAAAGGGAACACATGGTATACCTAACCTCACTGTTGAGTGCTGTGAAGAACATAGAGCTGAATGAAATACAGGGCATCTGGGCAGAGTAAGACTGAATAAGTCTTACAGAGTAAGAAGCTGGGTCTTGCAGAACAAGTAGAAATGGGATGTGTTTGTGTGTGTGTGTGTGTGTGTGTGTGTGTGTGTGTGTGTGTGTGCGTGCGCGCGCGTGCTGACTGCTGACTCGGGCAATGTGCTAGATGTACAGAGAGCAAGGCAGACTGGACAGGAGTCTGTGAGGGGTCAGTAGGTGTGAACTAAAGTAGACTTCAATGATCTAGTTGGTAGGGGCCAAGAAGCAAGAGCAGAGGTGACCTGGTAGTTTGGGAAAATGACAATAGCATTCCTGTTAACAGGTCTGTTCACCATAGAATATCCCAGCTTAAAGGAAGACATAGAAGCTAGTCGGGTCAAGTTAAAATCCGGGTCTTATCCTGATCGGAGCCGTAAGTCAAGTTTATACCAAGGAGAAAACCTCGTGCGTTCCCAGTCAGCCCGACCAGACTCCTTAATTGAAGACACATTGAAGGAAGAGACTATACAAACACTCTTGATCCCTGTTCGAAAGAAGAGCAACAAACTCCAGGCCAAAGTCACACCAAGGTTGGCTTAATCCTTCATTTCTCCTGTAGAGCCAGGGGATGTGATGGGCAGCCCCTCTCTTTGCAGCTCTCCCTTTAGGGGTGGAGAAGGATAGGAGATACACATGTATTTAATTGGTATCTTTTATTTTTGAACATTTATTGTGGATGTATGCATGCCATGGGGTAGATGTGGAGATCAGAGGATACCGCAAGGGAGTCAGTTTTCTCCTCCCATTGTGTGGGTTCCAGAGGTTGAACTTGAGTTGTCAGCCACAAGCACCTTTAACTGATAGCCATCTCATTGGCCATGGGGCTATTAAGAAAAGGTTTCAGAACAGTGTGGCATAATGAACTGATCATGGGCCAAATCTTTCTTGGGTGCTTAACTTTTATCTATTTTAAAATGCCTTGGGGGAGACCAAAAGATGGCTATTTTATGACATGAAATGAGAGGAAACTTATCAGTATTCATTGATGATATTCTATTGAAGCACAACTACATCTGCCATTTCCCACAGCATGGAAATGTTGAGTCCTCATGACAGAGCTCATCAGGCCTCTGAAGGGTTGGGATACTTACTTTCTAGTCCACTGTAGAAGAGACTAGCCCATTCCTGAACAGAGTGACTGTAAAGTGTAAAGCCAACTGACAAGGTTGCCTTCAGTGAGAGAGCCAGGAAAGCTGTCCTACAGTGAAATTTACAGAAGCGGGGAAGGGTGAGAAACAAGCAGCCCAAACAGATGTGAGAAAGGAACATCACAGAGCCCCAGAGGACAAGAGCAAGCTTAAGAGCAGTGTGACTCCGGTGTCACAAAGGAGGCCATGGGGCTGGCAGGATGGCTCAACAAGTAGAGATACTTGTTGCCAAGCTTAACATCGATAAGTATAATTTAAAGTATATATTTTAAAATGTGAAATTTGTACAAAAGAATGTGAAAATTCTATTCACATGGCTCAGGTGCACAGACCCTGTAGCCACCAAGTCAGGAACAGACCCTTACCCACTCTCTAGAAGTCCCTCTCTGCCAATCCAGTCTTTGACTCCTTCCTCCCCAGGCCAAACATTGAGTGAATACCACAGATTAGCTTTTGTTCTAACTTCATTTGAATGGATATATTTTTTTTTCCTTGGCATGTAGCTTTCTTCATTCAGTGTTATGATTTGAGATTTAACCATATCGTTATGCACAGCACTCATTTGTTTTTTTCTCATCACTATAACAATTTACCCTGTGATCATGCCACAAACAATCCTAAAGATATAGGTGTTTTGTTGTTCATGGTTTTTGTGCTGCAAAATTGTGCTGCTGTTGTCATTTGTCTTTTATGCGATCAGCAAATGCTAAGTTGTAAAACTGCCGAACTAGCATATGTATAGATATGCTCAGCTTCCTGTACAGATTGTTGTCTTCTCCAATGGTTCTAGTAAGCTCAGCTCCCAGCAGCAGTGTGTGAGAGCTACAGTTACTCTACATTCTTACCAGTCATATGTTGCTCTTCTCTATCTGTGTGTCTAGCTGTAGGGGTCACTGAATGCCCTACCATTGAATAGTCTATCATTCTCTGCCTTATTTCCTTGGAGCAGGGTTTCTCACTGTGCTTAGAGTTCATCTGACATTCAGCAAGCCCCAGCAAGCATGTCTCTATTTATTTCCTCATAGCCTATGGGTATAGGAGCTTGTAGTCCTGCCTCACTTTTTATTTAGGTGCTGGAGATTTTAACCCAGGTCTTCAGGCTTGTATAACAAACACTCTTACTTACTGAACCATTTCCCCAAACTCTTAGATTATGTTTCACACTGAATCTACTTTGAGATAATTTTGTATAAGGGAGAGTGTATGGGTTGAAATTTATCTGTTTTATATATGGCTATGTATTTGTTTCCACAACATCAAAAAAAAAAATAGATGCTTTTCTTCATTAACTTCTAAAGAAAAACAGTGAGGCATATTTATGTGGGTCTCTTTCTGTACTGATTGCATGACTTTCAAATATTGAAGCAGCCTTGCATTTCTGGATAAACTTCACTCAATTATAAAGATTTTTTTCTGTATTTCTGGGTTCGACTTGCTAAGATTTTGTTGAAGCTTTTGCATATATACTAATGAAGGTTATTCATAAATAGTTGTTCTTTTCTAGCAATGTTATTGTCTGCCTTATCAGAGCAATACTAGCTTAATAAAATGAATTGGGAAGCATATCTCTTTTATTTCTGTTGAATCTAGGCCTTTTCCTTTAAATGTTTGTTAAGATTTACCATGAAACCATCTTTCTCAAAGTCTCCTTTGTAGGGAAGTTTTTAAAAAGCAAAATTTCTTTTTAAATATAGAGCTAGTTAGGGCACTTGGTTTTTTTAAATGAATAATTAGTAATTCACATCTTTAAGGTGATTGGTCATCCAAATTACTGGATTTATAGACATGGAGTTATTCCTAATTTTACCTTGGGACCTTCTTTTAAAAACTTTTTATGCTTATTTGGTGTTTATGCATATTCATTTATACCCTGGTGTTTAAGGGGAGGTCAGAGGACAGGTAGGCTCTTGCTGAAGTAAGCTCTCTCTTTCCTCCACGTGGATGGGTGGATCCCAGGGATTGAACTCAGGTTGTCAAGCTTCTGGCAGGTTCTTTACTAGCTGAGTTCCATATGACCTTTTTAATGTCTGTAAGCTCTCTAGTGGTATCTCCTCACTTATGCTTCTTTTACTTCATATATTTGGAACTCACTGTTCAATGCATACAGATATAATAACTTTGTTTCTACATGGAATAACTTCTATTATTTTCCTTTTCTTTAATACCAATTTTTAGTTTTATTTATTATTTATGTATATGTGCACATGAATACAAGTACTTTTGGAGGTGAGAAGAGGGGTATCAGATCCCCTGGAACCACCCAGTATGGCTGCTGGGAACTTGAGTCTTCAGCAAGAGCAGTTCATACTCTTAACTACTGAGTCATTTCTCTAGTCCCAACCTATAATGATTTTTTTACTTACATTTTGCTGGTATTGTATAACTATTTCTTAAAAATATTACTTGTTTGGTATATTTTATTCCAACCTATCATTTTCAACTTAATTGTATATTTGAATCTAAAATGCATCCCTTATGGAGAACATGTATTAGAACATAGATCATTATGTTATTAATATTTCTATATATTATTTGCTGTCCTTATCTCTAAATGTGATAGGTTGATTCTTTTTTTTTTTTCTCTCAAGGTTTGTTGTTGTTGTTCTTTGAGACAGGGTCTCAGAATGTAGCTCAGGCTGGCCTGGAACTGTTTAATTCTCCTATTTTAGCCTCTTGAATACTGAGTTTGCAGTGCCACCACACACACCTGCCTATCTCTTGGCAGTTTAATTGGCTATGAAGAGTCTGCTATACTTATCTTATGTCTTCATGTTTCTGACTCCTCTGTCTGCTGTTGAGATTCACTGTTAAATTTTTCTTTTCAGCCATTGTGCACTCTGTTCTAGTTTTACTTTATATCTCAAATTCTAACTGGTCAGATATAGAGGTAAATGCTTTTTATACTTTTTATAATTTCTGTTTGATGAGACACTGTTGTTCTTCTGGGTTCCTTTAGTTCTTGTTTCTTGGTTTGCTTTGAGTATATCTAAATACTTACTAAGCCCCTTTTCTAGGAAATCTAGTATCTAAATTTCCTAAGGAGCAGTTCTTCTTAGTTTCTTTGTATATTCCTTACAACCTTTTCTTGAAAACTGATCCTTGTAAATATAGTAGCTGTGGAAGACCAATCCTCTTTCCTTAGGGTTCCTTGTGCTAGATTTGTTTGTTTAGTGACCTTTACAAAGTCTTTTTTTCAAGGGTGGTATTCTTTATTGCTAAGGCCTTTTTAATTACTGAGGTCTCTGCTCAGTCTGGTGCAAGGCTCAGAAAATTGCTGCTGATGTGTATAGCTCTGTGTTGAGGCATTACTCCTTTGAACCTTTGCCCCGGCCATCCATAGCTGTGTATTGACTTTATCACCCTATACTTGCATAGCTCCTGAGATGAAAGATGAAGTGTTCTTGGGCTTTTCCCAATCTGACATCAAGATCCTTCAGTGTCCTTGAGAGACTTGAAAACCTCCATTTTGCCATCTACCTACCTCTTTCCCTCATCTTCTGTAGTATTTTCCTGGTGGGGCTTTTTTTTTTTTTTTTTTTTTTTTTTTTTTAAGTCTATGCCTACATGTTTTACTTTGCACAGAAATCATGTCTGACATTTTTTGACTTTGTGTGTGTTCTAGTTATCACTCATTGTTGCTGTGATAATCACTGACCAAAATAAAATTGGGGGAGTATCTTAATTAGGGTTTCTATTGCTGTGGCAAGACACTATGACAATGGCAACTCTTACAAAGGAAAATATTTAGCTAAATGGCTTACAGTTTAAGAACATTTTAGTCTATTATCATCATGGCAGGAAATGACACCATGCAAGCAGACATGGTGCTGGAAAAGGAGTGGAGGGTTCCACATCTTGATCCACAGGAAACAGGAAGTGGACTGTGTACCATACTGAGCGTGGCTTGAGCATAGGAGACTTCAAAGCCATCTCCCCTCCACACACACAAAGTGACACATTTCCTTCAACAAGGTCATATCTACTCCAACAAAACCATACCTCCTAATAGGGCCACTCCATATGGGGGTCATTTTCCTTCAAACCACAGGGAGGAAATGGTTTATTTTGCCTACAGGTCATAATTCATCTATGAGGGAAGACAGGAACAGAAGCAGAGATCATGGAGGGACATTGCTTACTGGCTTGTTTCCCTGGCTTTCTCAACTACCTCTCTTAGACAGAGATGGTACCAGCCACCATGGGCTGAACTCTCCCACATCAATTAGCAATAAAGAAAAACTTCCACAGACATGCCCAGGCCATTCAATGGAGGCAATTTCTTTTCTCTGGTGTCAAGTTGACAGATGAAACTGATTATGACAAGTGTTTTCAACAAATGTCTGCTGGGGCTGCTCAAGTCAGGTTCTGAGAGAACCCAGGCAGGTCAGCCACCCAGTCACAATTCCTTGAGCCTGAGTCCACATTGCCCACCTTATAACAGCACACAAGCCAGGAATGAGTGGCAGAGAAGAAAGTTAAAATGGCAGCTTCCTTGCACCAAATCTTGGCAGTTTCTGGTTCCTGAGCCTTGCTAAGGCTAGTTTTGATTGGTTTTAGTCAGCTTATCTGCCTGCCTGCCCAGTCTCCCTCCCTGTCTCTCTCTTTCCCCAACTTGTTGTCAATTTTAGTGAAAGAATAGTTTTGATGTGTTCCTATCCTACTATTTTTGGTGAGATCCCTGTTTCCAAAGTTTTAAGAACTCATAACTCATTCTAAGTTCTTGTAGGTAAATCAATTGTTCCTGATTTTGTCCTCATTTCATCAGATGTTAGTGTGTGTGTGTGTGTGTGTGTGTGTGTATGCGTGTGGATGCCAGTGCAAATTGACTTCAGTGTCTTCTTCTATCATTATCCACCATACTTTCTGAGAAATGGTCTCTCACTAAACTTGGAGCTTGTAGCTGGCCAGCAAGCCCCTGAGATCTGTTTGCCTCCACCCACCTCCAGCATTGACAAAATCCTCCAAGAGAGATCAGGGAATGAAGCACAGACCCTTATGGAATACTTAAATGATTGGAGGCTGGACTATGTTGGTGGTAGAGGAGGGCTGTTAGATACTAGATCTGTCAAAATGGGAAGAGGTTTGTGGGTGGGATTCATGGATGGCTTTGAAATGTCAACTGAAGAACTTTTGTTTTTAATTTTATTTTCATTTAATTTATTATTTTACATGTCAATCCCAGTTCCCTCTCCCTCCCTCCCTTTTACTCTCTCTGCCCCCTCACATACACCCTGACCACCCTCCCCTCCCATCTCCCCACCCCAATTCCACATGTAGGGCAATGCCATCCAGGTGGGGTCATGTAGATTTCTTATGCCTCCTTTTGCACATGAGGAAACTGAGACCTGGAATGGTTAAGAGTGCCTCTCCTGAGGGTCTAGACCAGGATCTGTCTACAGCCCTGGCACTGCAGTGGGCCTCTTTCTGTCTAGAAACAAGAGAAGTCGGGGCAGAGGTTGAAGCCTGCCCACTGTGCTTCTTTTTGTAGAGGGAAGCCGAGAGAGGTACGCAGCCCCACCAGGTGGGCAGCCTCACCCTCTGACTGCCCACTGGTGCTGCGGAGGCTCATTCGCAAGGAAGACATCCGGGCTGGCTGCAAGTGTATTGTGAAGGCACCCCTGGTATCCGACTTGGAGCTAGAGCGCTTTCTGTCTGCACCCCGAGACCCCAACCAAGTGCTGGTATTCGGGATAATGTCGAGCCAGAATCCCAATTGCACTGCACAGCTGCAGTGGCTGTTGGACACACTGTATAGCCATCGGCAGCAGGGCCGTTCCTCACCCTGCATCCAGGTTGGTCCAGAATCCAGCGAGGAGGCCCCTTGGGCCAGGGCCAGGGAGCAGAACCAAATATAAAACCCCCTGTATGAGGACGGGTTGGGTGTCTCACAATTCCTTTTCTTTCCAGGGCCTTGACATACACTCCCCTTCCTGTCTACATCATGTTGTCCCATCTTCTCTCTCCTGCTCATTTTTCTCTCCCAGGATGAATGTCACCACATCAGGGCAGGTGCTTCTTCTGATCACTGAGACAAGGTCAAGGCACAGTGCTTTTCTTTCAGAGCACTTAGCACGGTTTGCGTCCACAACTGGTGTGAATGTTCAGGGGAAAGACAGTGCCCACCACCCATGTTCTTACAGTTCAGTATTATGTTCATGGACTGTCCCCAAGTCCCTCCATGTGCTGGGCTTTGTGCCAGGCTCTGAACACCAATCACTGGTTTAGCCAGTCCTTGAAGAAATTCCCAGCATGGCTGTAGCTACAGCAGGCACTTGAGAGGGCCAAGACTCTGGAATGTATGACTTCTGTCTTCTAGAGTCAGAATGAGCTTCCTAGGATACTCAGGGCTTTGGCAGGCAAGTGAGTATCCATGGAAGTGGCCTGTGCAGGGATGAGAACAGTTTGAGGTCCCAATTTAAGACTAAGGGGTGTTGGAGGGCACAGGGAACCCCCCCTCCTCCCTCTAGGGTTGTTCCTCCCATGTCTAGCCTCATTATCTTGAGTGTGCCTTCATTAAAAAATGGTGTCAGAGAAGATGAAAGGCTGAACCTCTGGACTCCTGTGGACATGTGGGCTAAGTGACTTCTAAGCTGTCCTTCTCCTTGAGTCTACGGCATTATCCCTGCCCTACTCCCCCCTCTGCTGCTGCAGAGTTCTGAATTTGGGTGGGACATCTGCCTGAGCACTCCCTCTAGCCTGCCTTTCAAGGAGTGCTGCCTGCCAGCCAATCCCAGGAGCTCAGCATTTAGGGCTCTTCTAAATAAATCAGATAATCCCCTTCCTCACAGGTGCCCTTGTCTCAGCTCTTTCCAAGAGAGCCACCAGCCACAAGCCCTGTTGCTTAGCCACACTTGTTTCATGCATTTCATTTCCAGCTTCAATTTAGAGAATGTTCACTGAGAAGCTGCTCTGGGCTCCCCTGTTTCATGTTCATAAAATCCCTGTCCTTGTGGGAATGTACAGTTGGCTATAGTTCATCTGAGGCTATTAATTGTTCACTAAGGAATAAAGTGCTTAGGCGTCTTATTCCAGCCACAAGTAGTATGAATGGGGCCAAGATCTGACCTGGAGTAGTTGGAGGGGATGGAGAAAATGGCATTGAGTCTGCAAACAGGCTTGGAGGGGAATGGTGAACTTCACAGAGACTTGGCTTCTTCTCTGGCTAATCGCTCATCATCAATGCTCTCATCCCACTATGGTTAATCACCATAAACGGGTCAAGAGGGGTGAGAGGCAGGGTGCAAGTCTCCTCTGGGCTGTGTAACATAGCTTCCTAAGTCTGGTCCACTTTGAGCAGGACTCTCATCTTTAGACTTTCCAGAGTGAAGAACACCATACTCCACAGATCCCTAGTGCTATCACATGAAGAGTCCCCTAGTGATGACTTCCTCCACAGAGGGCTCAGAGCAGATCTGGAGACCTCCTCTGGGGACAGTGATGGCTGCAGGGAGGTTAATAATGTATCTTCTTGTATCAGGGTGACTAGTTTTCACATCTCTATTTGGCAGTGCCAGCATGATCCTTACCGCCTGCTGCGGTATGATCTGGACAGCCCCCTGCAGAAGGATCCACCCCTAATGGTGAAGAAGTTTGCTGTGGTGCACGGGATGGTTTTGGTGAGTAGGAGCCCTGTAAAGGTCTAGACACCCCTTACCAGCCACTGCTATCTCAGCCAGATTGGAGGTAGGGCAGGGGAGACAAAACAAAACCTGCAATTGTTCTCCACCCATGCTGAGGCCCAGAGGGCAGGATTTACTGAGAATCACCAAACAGAGTCACATCCCCATCCCTGGAGATGGAGGGGTTGGGTGACATTAACACAGAGAACCAAATTCTATTCATCTGATCGTTATTAAATTATACTAAAATATTATAAAACCATATATATATATATATAGTCATGTATACAATCTAAAAAATAATGATAACCCCCTACCACCCAGGATCTTACTCATCTATCCAACACTTAAGTTCTGGAGCCCCTGCTAGGCCACATCCACCTGACATTGTAGTATATCCCCTTTGCTGTCCTTCTCTACACACATACTTTTAGGGCACTGTCTTCCCAATAAAATAACAGAGCGCCATCTCACATCTTCAGTTTGTAGCACCAGAATTTTTACCACTGGATGTGCTATCAATGCTGCTTTTGTTGGACAGTTAGGATCTTTCCTTCTCTCCCTTCTTCCTATTTTTCTTTTTCCCCATAGTAATGGTATGATGAATAACCTTGCTTAGCCATCTCTAGACAGGTACCCATGTTGGAGAATGATATACACAGAGAGTAGAGGGTATGAGACCCCTATTCCATAGGATGAGCTGAATGGTACTTTCAGTATGTGGGTTTGAGGTAGCATTAGGTAGGTGGGTAGGAGTCTTGTGAGCAGGGTAGAACATGGCCTTTCTGCTCCCTAGGGAAAGTATGAAGTATACATCTGACAGGAACCCAATAGGGGCCAAAAGCTATGAAGCTTGGGCTTCCCTCAGACTCAGAAGGGCCTGTGCAGGGGCTCAATCATAACTCCCTGGATTGCTGAGGGAGGCTAGAACACTTTGCCATGCTATCAAAAAGCCTGAGTCCTAACCCAGCTCTGAGTATCCTGTGGCCAGTTCTACTAAGACTTGGAACTTGGCTGTCATTATCAGTCATTCCACTATGTCAGTATACTGATGTGTTTCTTATTTCATTTCTTTCCTGTCTTCCAACAGATGTTTGCTGGTGGGAAGCTCCTTTTTGGGGGCTGTGTCCTAAATGGCTATGGCTTCAGCAAGCAGAATCTGTTGAAACAGATCTTCCGGGCACGACAGGATTGCAAGATGGGCTATTTCCTGCCAGACAACTACAAATTCAAGTAAAACTGGACAAGGCATTCCTCAGGGAGGAATAATGGGGCAGGAGACTTGGGCTGTGGGAAGGCCAGGAGTAGGAGAGCATGTGGTACCAAAGGAGAGGTGGGGAAGAGCCAGAAACAGGGGAGCAGGGTGCATCTTCTTCCTACAGCCCCTGAGCAAAAGCTACAGTGGGAAGGTTTTGCAGGTGGGTAGGGGAAGAGTAAAGCAGGCAGGAAGAGGTGAACAAAATCATGTTGCTTGTCTCTTTGAGTCTAAGTTTAGATAAAGGGCTGTGTGGGGAAAAGAAGCTACTGCTTATTTGCACGGTGCTCCACTCAGCTGGAGATAGTGGAAAGATGTCTGGGGGACAGGAGTCCAATCACACCTCTTAGTTCCAACCTGTGTGCACATTCAGCTTGACTTCTTTTGGGTTGCCAGGTGGATCACAGTCATTGGTGGAATAAGCTTAGGTATGAGCGTCCAACTAAGGTGCTGCCACCTACTAAGCATTTCCGGGCTGTCTCTGGTGAGTGGTAGAGTGTCTGAGCTCAGGACACTGTAGTCTAGTCCAGGAGGAGACTTACAGGTCCCAAATTTCACTGTGCTTAGCAGTGCAGGTTTCTGAGAAACTTGCTAGTTGGAGGTCCTAAGGCAAGGTTAGAGCCCCAGCTTTGCCTTGCATTATCTGGGTGACTGGCAGGTGGACTGATCAAGTGGGCTCTCAGATCTTTAGTTGCCTTTAAAAATGAAGATAATATTCAGTCTTGTAGAAATGTAAGGATTTAACAAGAATATTTGTTAACAAGCTCTCTGTGTGGTAAACAATGATGAAAACCAGGATAATGTCATCTGTAATATTTGCATGTGGAGCTGAGCTACTGTGACATACCCTTACAGCATCAAGTTAACTCCCCCATTCCCATACAGACCTGCAGTTTTCTATTTTTTTTTCTTTGTTTGCTTGGTTGGTTGGTTGGTTGGTTAGGCTTTCAAGCTAGAGTTTCTCTGTGTATCCCTGGCTGTCCTGGAACTTATTCTGTAGATCAGGCTTTCCTCAAACTAAGATATCCACCTTTAATCCTAAATGCTGGGATTAAAGGTGTATGCTACCATACATGGCTGCCACTCTATCTTGATGCCAGCTCACCCCAGTAAGCTGATTTGGGTTTTTGCCAGTCTACTTCACCCTGAGGCTGGAGATCCATTCATGGAAAATCCATGGAGGTCATACCAAGTGACCCCAATATTTTGGAACACTCAGTGTAGAAGGCTGGAAGAGGAGGAGCCTGTGGGGATAAGGCAGGCAGACAGAAAATCCTGAGTCCCCATCATTCAGAACACCAAAAGAGGGTAGAGTTGCTGGAGACCAGACATTGGCAGGTCCAGGAAATTGTAAAGCTGAATCTCAGGAGCTGTTCACAGTTTAAAAAATAATGTGCCAGAGATTATTAGGTCTTACTGAGCATTTATGTTTATAAATTCAGCATCTTAGATTCCCTGTATTTAAAAGACACTAGAAAACAGGAAAGGAAGATGGATTTATTTACCGTTTAAGCAAATAGGGAGGTATCTAATTATATCCCCCACTGTGCTTGTGGTCACCTTATAGTTTATGGAAAGCTATGAGACAAGGGATATGATATATGAAAATGTATCTGTGAGCCCAGAGCTCAGCCCCCTAACCCAAGCCTCTGGGTCCTAGGTGGGAGAGCACAGCAGGCCTGTAGCCAGACAGTCTCAGTGGGAAGCATGCATATGTAGATTGTGGTCCTGACATGAGCAGCCCTGAGTGATATTGTGTCCACATGCACACAATGCTTATACTTAGCCCCTGTCTCCTTCACCATAGTTGGGGACAGCTAAGGGAGGACATGCATGGTGTGCAGGCTCCACTATCTGTGTCTGTGAGCAGAGAGCTCTTACCCTGACATGCTCACACTCCAGTGAGGACTAGGTACAAGGGGGCCCAGGATAGGGCAGTGTGAGAGATATCCAGGGAGGCTAAGGGGATGGGAGAACAGACCAAATAGAGAAAACAGTTTTTTCCCCAGAAACACAAAAGGGCTTAGCCTGCAGCAGTCCCAGAAGGTAGGTGTGTGTGTATTAGGACCCCTATGTAGCAGTGAAATGGCCAGTAGAAACATCTCCTGTTTCCCTTCAACTGGGTTCTTATCCTACCTTCCACCAAGAATGGAGTGGGCAGCCAGTGAAGACAACCAACAGGTTATTGCTTTATTGTCAGTTTTGGGTTAACAACTTTAAATGGATAAAACAACTTTAAACAGGGTTTAAAGTTTAAACAGGTACAAGGGTTTTGACGATTTAAATGGATCAGGTTTGAATTCTTGGTAGCAGGATGATGGCCTCTTAGAGCTCTTTCAGCTCTGGAAAGTGTTTACAGTTTAAAAGTTTTTGGAGGGCTTCAGAGCACCAATCTAGAGCAGTCCCTTGTAGAAAAAAATCTGCTGGTCAAACAACGGGAACACAAGGAACAGGTCATGAAGGTTGGAAGCAGCGCTCAGGAATGAATTCTCATCTGCAGCGGAAGTATAACATTCTTGAAGGCTGAGGCAGAAATGAGTCCTCCTGCCTACAGCTACTGGCCATGTCCCGGAGGCTGGCTCAAATGAATTTCCTGCATAGGAACAATTCTGTCCCTTGCCTGTCTTAAAGGCAGCTTTCACTGAGGGCAGCCTTCCTCCAGTGAAGATGAGCAAGTGGCTGGAGCCAAACCTGAAGTCTTCCTTTTTTTCTTCCTCCCTCGGTTCCTGCAGCAGTTCTGTCTCTGAAAAGCCCAGAACGTCCGATTGTACTGGGTACCCGCTGGACCCTGATTGGCTGAATGTGGGTATGCAAATAAAGTGAAAAATAGGACCAATCAGGGAAGAGTTGTTAAACCTTGTTGGGGAGGGAGAAGAACCCTTAGTCCCCAAAAAAGGTTGCTAAAAGTTCACAATCAGGTTGAGAAGACTGCAGAAACAGGGACATTTGAAAGAGTTGGTCTGTCCCTGGTTGCTATAGGAGCTCACTGGGGAAGATTTTCATCAGGCTGCTTCTTCTTCTTCTTTTTTCTTTTCTTTTGTGGCAGCAAAATATACAGTTGTGTAACACTTGCAAGTGTGTCTATGACATCCTGTGTTCCTTTGCTGCCTGTAGGACATGGCATGCTCATCAGGGATAGTGTGGAACTATGGGCTCCCAGCTCTCTGCTCTATTTTGCTAGAGTCTGGTTGGGTGGCTGTGTACAGAAAAGCGACCCAGAACCCTAAGCTAAGAGCCCTTGGCACAGCGCCTATACTTTACAGAAGGAGATACTGAGGGCCAGCAAGGAAAAAGTTGTGTTTAGAATAGGAAATAAGTCCAGGCTACACCACAACAATGACCTTTGTCTTCAGTCATGTCCTGAACAAATGGGACATAACCTTTTCAAGGCTGTTCTTAAAGGAAGACAATCAAAATCTGTCAGAAACAGTCACACACTGCCAAGACAAAAGTGCTTCAAAAACAGTCTTCACCCTATAAACTGAATGCTGTGTAAGCTGTAATGTGCTCAGTGGACCACAGAGAACCTTGCAAATGGTCATGAAATGGGTGAGAGACAAAGTCCTTGGTAAATTTCCACATCCCTGATAAGTCACAATGGGCAGTGGGAGCTGCTGAGTGCCCTGTGAACTAGGAAGAGTTTCAGAAATTGCTGGGCCTCCCCTCAGACCAGTTTGTTTTAAGCAGCAGAGCACAATGCAAGCTGTCATATACCATGCACAGTTCCCAGTCATCTCTGAAGTGCCCTATCCTGCACAGCACTTGGTAAACTACATGGCAATCTATGAAGGACAAAGCATCTTATAAACTGTCAAGTACCCTATGACATTTAGACTGGAGTGAAACTGCTGGTGTGAGAACCTCAAAGGGTTTGTAAATAGTCAAGATCTTTATGAACATCAAGTGAAGGTTTGGTGTGCTGTGAGTGCTACCAGTTGTGAGAGAGTTCTTCACCCCTGGGCCACTGTGCTATGCCTGTTTTCTGCCCATCTTAGAAGAGGCAGGACCAGCCGAGTCACAACAGGAGGTAGCCAGGAACTAGTGAGGAGAGGTGGTTGCAGCAAGGTGCCATGTTCTGCAGATTCACGTCCTGAAATCCTTAGCTCCATGGTGATGGTGTTAGAAATACTGACACTGGGAAGTGACTAGGTCACAAGTATAGAGATTTCATGAGTGAAGGTAATACTTGCCATGTAGGCACAGTACTTTTAGAGCAGTCAGAATAGCTAAACTGAGTGGCTTAAACAGCATCTTCCCATCATCTCAGTTCTGGGGCTGGAAATTGGATCCAGGTATCAGAGGGCCATAGTTCCTCTCAAGTCACATCTTAACCTCTCTTTGGCTTTGGTGACAGCATTACTCTAAATGTGGCACTGGTCACATAGGATTGGGCCCACTTCATGGCCTCCACTTTGCTTTCCTTTGCTGCTTTGCAAAGTTCTCTGTATCCTGCAGGCATTGCCAGTGCTCAGTATAGTATGGATCAGGTAGCTGGTAAAATGGGAGTGAGGTTTATGCAGCCCTTCAAGGAAGCCAAGAAACTGACTTCCCAGGTTCCCAGAGCAGTTTCTCCCTTGGCACAACTGGGAGGAAGAGTGTTTTGCTAGTCTATCTGTGGGCTGGAATAGGGCGGGGCAGCACTGAGTGAACCCTGGGCTCCCACCTCTGACCCCTATGCTACGCCTTCCTACTACCCCTCCCCACAGCATGTCAACCTATATCTCAAGCCTGGATGATTCTGAATCAGCCAAAAGATCGCCATCTGAAGATTTCGAAGGCAGTGTCTCTTCATTGGCGCTTGGAGACAAAATGGAGAAAATACCTTCTACCTCACCTGACAAGTATGTTTTCCCCATGTCTCTAGTTGGCAGATTAGGGATGGTTCATTATAGGATCCCTCGCTTAATCACAGACCACTAAGGCTACCATGGCATGGCTTAGGCGTTGAAATCTGTGTCCCTCCGGGTATAGGTCAGCCTCTGATTTCCAGCCTGTTTTACAGTGTTAACAATGGGTGTTAGGGTTGTGCACTAGGGGACACTTTGTAGAAAGGCCCCAGAGTCTAGATCCATCTGTCAGAAGGATGAGGCTGTCCCTAACTCCAGCAAGTTTCTTGGTAATGGTGACAGGGAACCAAATCAAAATTCTATAGTGTCACTCTTTCCAGAAAGATGGAAAATGCTAAGATTAGGCTATGGGTCCCACTGGGCTCCCAAGTTGGAGCTGTCTCCTGTCCCTCTCCCTCCAGGGCCATGCTCTCATACCTGGGCCAAGCTCCTTGCCTGCTTGCTTGCTGCCCAGGGCCTGCTTCTCCTGTTGCATATTTAGGTTGAAACAGCTTGAAGTGGCACTGCAGCCTTTCCTCAAGAACAGGAGGAACAGTAAGAAGACAGGTGGCTGGAAGAAGTCAGGATCTAAGAAGTGATGCTGGAAGAGCCAGAGATGCCCTCCCCACACCCAGCCCTACCTCCTGGTCTCCCGCCACCCTTCAATAAACACGCCTGCCTCCAGCATCTGGGTGAGGCGGTAGTGGGTGGGATAGGCCCAGAGGGTCCCCACAGCTAGTTTCAGGCCCGGCTCTTGAAAACTTGTTACTCCCAACTTAGAGCTTCCTCAGTGGCCAGGAGTAAGCCTGGATCTAACATTCTGGTGAACAAATGTCTCATAGCCAAGGGCCTGCCCTCTCAACCATTCAACAACCCCGGGGAGCTTCAGAAGGGTCTGGAGTGTCTTTCAACCTCTGTGAAGTGGGAAAGACTTCTGGTAGAAAGAATATGAGAAGGGAGAGGGATACAGAAAAGGAGAAGAGATTGAGGGAGTGGTGGAACAAGATGAGAAAGCAGGAAGGAATGAGGAGGATGGAGGGGCAGGAGGGATAGACAAAGGAAGTGAGAGATAAAGATGAAGAGGATGAGTGGGCTGAAGGCCAGAGTCCAGCAGATACTTTATGGGTTTTCATCACTATTTAGCTCAGCAAGGGAATATATGGCTGGACTGGATTCTCCCTTTTCTGAATGTGTGGGCCTAGAGTATCCTTATCAACATCCAGGAGCCCCAGGCAACTATCTTCTGGGGTGCTGCCTTGTCCCTTACCTCTGAGAAAGCTGGATCCCTCACCACTATGTAGTTGGTGAGAGCAGTGTCCCCATAGCAATGATTGTGGAGGGTCTGCCTTGGCTTTGCATCAAGAATAGAATCCAGGCCCCCAAATTCCAGGCAGCATTTGGTGATGTATTTCACAGATAACCATTTCTGCTTCTTCAGTTACACATGCTTTTTCAGTCTGAATTTTTCAAGGCTTAATTTTTGTTTGTTTGTTTGTTTGTTTTTCATTGTTTAGTAGCTTCCAAATACATTTTTTAGTATGTTTCTTCCCTTAGAAGTGTGTTTGATGTTGCCTGACCTGTTCTAAAGCTGTATATGTTGATATTTTCAGGCCTTAATGTTTGTTAGGTGGCTTAGGGCTCTAGGCATCCCCTATCCTTCCCCTCCAAGCACATAGATAGATAAGAGCAAGAAGGCTAGGGGCCAAAGTTCTGTTTTATTTTTGCAGATAGGCACCACCAACCTGGTGAAAATCAGAACCAAGGCCTCTGCTCAGGCTAGAGTCTGAGATGAAGCCTCTGACCTGTGCCTCTCTGACCTTTAGTTCATGTGCTCATATGCTAAGCAGTGCTGTGTGTGCCAGGAGCAGAGGCAGGGAAGGTCCTGGCCCTCTGCAGGGTACTCATCACCCTGAAGGGCTGCCTGTGAACAGGAGCAGCTCCCACTGGCAGAGCAGGCAGTAAGTGTCCAGGGCAACACCATAAATATACTCCTGGAGGAGAAGAGGAAAGTCCTTCTCCAAGGAAATGTCAGGAGAGACAGGTAGGCTTCCTCCATAATGGGTCTCACAAAGCAGGAAGCTAGATGTCTGTGCTGTACATTCTGTTGATTAGCATAGGGCTTCTTAAACTCCCCAGCCCCACCCCCGACCTTCTCCCAGCCTTAGGACCAAGAAATTTTTATATAACCCTGGGCATAGAGGTATGTAAAACAGGTATGCAAATCAAACACTTACTGATAATAATAAAGAAATTTATTTTAAACAATTCTTTGATATAATATGATTTTCCATTTATTAAGGATGAATGTGCTTGTGTATTTGCCTGAATGCTCAATGCTGTAAAAGTTAGAGCATCTTGCCACTTTGCACAATTTATAGCTTTTCTGATTTTATAATCATCAGTGCTAAAAATGCCACTTTATATAAACATAAAGTAGCAGAAATATTTAGAACCATTTTAGAATCAGCCAGGAGATTTTATTTTTTTAAATAATACTTTTACATTTATTGTTTTTTATTTTATTTTAATTTATTTTATATAACCAAGTCCATTTAAATGAAAACAAACATTTATAGACAATATTTGGGAATTTGGGCGTTGTTCTTTCCAAACTATTTCCTGCTGATAAGGGGCGCTGTCATGGGGGATTCGAAGAAGATTCAGAAATCCTCAGCCAGGAGATTTTAAAATAATGAATTATGTCCAAAGTTTGTCCTAGCAATGCAAAGTTGGTCCATCATCAAGTACTAGTCATCATCGGTCCCCATAAAATAAACTAAAGAAGAGAAACTAAATGCTAACTAACTGCACTGGTAAAGAAATACAGCAAATGCAATCATGGCAAGCCAAAAACAAAATATTAACATCATAACTTCAAAAGGTTGATGAGAAAAACCTTCAGCAAACACTTACTTCATTATGATTCTTTAACTACATTGCCAATGAGGTTAGGTAGAAGACAAGGCTACCACCACTGAAAAAAATGCCCTAGAGACTTGAGCCCTCTACACTAAGAAAACACGGGATAAGGCATGAGAGGAAAGCATCAAACTGAGCTGTTGTAGGTGATTCTGTTATCTGCCTAGAAAGCCAACAGAATCAATGGGTAAACATCAGAATCATTGCATAACTAGATAAACGTATAAAAGCCACTTTCTTACAAAAGGCCTAATATCAAGATGCAGGACCAGTGAGTGGAGTCCTAAGCAGAATGACATCCATCAGTGCTTTGATCCCAGAGTGAAGTGAAGCTGAGAGGAAGAGGTTGTTCAACCAGAAGCCCAACATGTCTACCCAAGGCCATCAAGAGACACCATGAATCCAAGGCTCCTGGATGCTGAGGTCTCTGATGTTTCTCACCCAAGACCCTTGAGTATCTCTTTCATAAAGTAAACCTACTCCCTGCACTCTCCCTCCCAGCTATGCTGAGGCTGGCCAAGCCACTTTTGGCTTCAGGGTCTCCATGTTTTTATCCATAAAATATGATGTTCCAGGATAGTAACCTTCCAAGGAGCTAGACTATATCAGATACAATGCAGAGAAAGCCTTTAGCTTGGGCTTGGAAGATATATATGAGAACAAATTATTTATAGTTATTAAGCACATGCCCCCCCCCATCGCCAGTTTCCACATCAGCAGGCCCACCTATGTATGGTTTGTCTCCCAGGCACTAGCATCAGCAAGGGTTAAGGAGCTTGGCTGCTAGCCAAACAAAAATAGTGTTAGCCTTGAGCGACATAGCATTCCCCTATCTGTTCAATCTCCAGGCCCCAGCCCAACCTTTGGAAATGAAAGCTCAGCCTAGCTGAGTCTCCTCTGTCTGCTGCATCTTAATAACCTCCACCAGGGAGAGTAGATAACCTCCCTCTCAGATCCTTCAGCTCCCCAGCTCAAAGAAAGCCCTGAAGCTGTCAGTTCATAGGTGAGAAATGGATTGGGCTGTACCCGCTGCTGGTCCAGTTGGAAGGGAGTAGTCTCCTGGGGTGCAGAACAGGTATTGGGAATCCACAGGCCAGATGCCCTGGCTGTTAGCTTATCCTGTAGATCTGGGCAGGGGGCTTCCAGCTGCAGAGTATGGCCTACTAATGAGTTGAAGAATCTGTTTGGAGGATGTGATCCACATTTTGAAGAAGACTGGAATAGGAAATGGCACCATGCATGTAGGAGGGGCAGGCTTTATTTCAGCCAACCTGAATATAACATCTGGGACACAGTCTCTGAGACACAGACCACCCCCTTGCCCCAGCCGTCAGTGCATGAGACCTCAGATACTTTATTTCAAATGATTAATGTTGGGGGGGGGTCTAGTTTATTGCCAGTGGTACCACCCCTGGGAAGGTGGTTCTGGGTAATATAGAAAAGCAAGATGAACAAGCCTCGAGGAACAAGCCAGTAAGGTGTTTGGTCTATATTGTTAGTAAAGTTATTTTCTCTTCAGCAGTATTTATATTATTTGTATTTATATCATTTATAATTATACATAACTCCTTCTTCCCCCAAGCTGGACCTTGTGCATACTAGGCAAGTACTCTACCTCTGAGCTTCAGCCTTAGCCCTTGGACAACAGTCCTTTATTGGATATGGCTTCTGCAAATGTTTTCTTATAATCTGTGACTTTTCATTTTCTTGGCATTGAAGTTTACAAAGCAGAAAAATTTAAGTTATTTAAGTCCAGCTTGGCAACTCTTTCTTTCATGGGCCACATCTTTGTTGTTGTAGCTAAAAAATCATTGTCTTGATCAATGCTATTTAGATTTTCTCTGGAGTTTTGTAGTTTTGCCTTTTATACTTCAGCCTAAAATCCATCCTGAGTTAGCCTTTGTGAGAAGCTTAAGTCCTAGGCTGATTCAATGTTTGGTACTTGCCTGCCCAACATTGCTTTCTTACTTTCTCCATCACGGTACCTTTGCTCGTTTGTGAATGGCTGACAAGCATTTGTGTAGGTTGAGCTATGGGTTCGCTGTCATGTTTCATCTATCTGTTTGCTTGTCCTTCATGGCCACTGAGACTTGGTGTTAGCTGTGATACAGTATGTCTTGAAGTCTGGGGGGCGGGGGTATCTCCAAGCTGTGTTCTTCTGTCATTTGTCAGAAGCAGAAATTGAGATACTGAGATGTTAAGTTGTTTACCCAAAGCCACACCATCGGCAGCCTTTCTCATGGCTGCTGGGAATGCAAACTGACAGAGCCACTAGAGAAAGCAGTGAAACTCAAGTCTTTTGACTGCATAGCTTGCATTTGGGATCTAGATTAAACAAGGAATGAGGAAAGAGAACAGAGAAAGGGGGAATAAGATATAAGATGATTACTCACGATCATCAGCTTGATGGGATTTCAAATGAAACTTCTGGGAATTTCTATGAGAGGGTATCTATGTTAGGATAATTGAGAAGACCCACCCTATTTATGAGTGACACCATTGCTTGTGCTGAGGTCTCAGACTACATGTAAAGGAGAAAGTACACACCAGCATTCATCATGCTTCCTCTCCCCTACTGTGGACACACTAGCAAACTGTTTCCCTGTTCTTGCTGAGAACAGGGGTTTCATGACTTCATATGTATGGACTCAAATGTTTGGCTCCTATCCAACTATAGCAATGAACCAGACAGGAAGCATCCCCATTTGTGGGGGAAGAGACACCAGACCCAGTCAGTATAATGCATGGTGTATTCAGTATTGATG